ATGGCCAACAATTTACATCTTTAAAGATCAGGGCAATAATGCAGCCAGATGTGGTTGGCACTAACTCAAGTCTTATCCTGCATAAATCGCCCCTTTCTTCCTGATGCCTGGACTGACTCATCTCCTGAGCTATCTAATCCTTTCATTAACCCTTGTCTGTCTTCGGAGACACTGCTACACTCACTGTTCTGGACTCTTCTTTAAATCAAGCAAGCAGAAGCCCTTGCCGTGATCAGCACCATGCTCCTTAGCCATCCAGCTGCTATTTTAATTTCCCACAGTGTCTCTGACATCGTGTCACTCCAGAGCACTGTGGGGAATTTACAAGGTGCCACCCACCACCCCACCAGCACTGCTTGGAGCGCTGGTGCTGAATAAGCTTGGGATGGCCCACCAGTAAAGGAGGGGAGACCACAAGTGAACTTAGTCCAAGGCCTCCTCGTTTCCTCTTCTAACGGCAGCATTGGACGAATTCTTCAGTCCACAGCACCTTATGTCCACAGGATACATACATATCATGCCAATATACAATCATGGGGGACCTTTCTGAAGAGAGGGTTGCTAATGCACAGGGGGGCTTGTGCCCCAGGTTCAACAAGTCTAAGAAATCTGGTGTGCAACCATGTTATACTTTAGAGGCAGCCTCCTCCTCCTCCCCCTCCTTCCAACTTACACAGATACATTTTTATCCTCACAGCAACAACCCTGCGAGGTAGTTTACACTTAGAGGGATTGACTGACCCCAAGACACCCAGTGAGTTTCATGACTAAGTGGGGACAAGAAGGCAGATCTCTTGGGTTCGCAGTCCAATACTCTAACCACCAGAACACAATGGCTCTCAAGGTGGTACAGGCAGGTTTTAGAAGAGAAGTGCTTTCTTTCACGATCCCACTCCCAACTGATATCTTTCCCCGAAGATTGGGCCATCCCCATCAATCTGCAATTCAAGCAAAGGGCACCTGAAGTAGGTCCAAAGTTGAGCAGATTCAGGACCCTGGACAGCAGCCGCGCACGGAGGGATCCTGGGCTCAAATTCAGCACTATGGAGAGCAGCTTGGTAAGCCGGTTACCCCAACATTGGCTAGGAGCAACCGACTGGGGTTTATCGTAGGACCAGGAGGCCTTCTTGGAGTGCCACCTCCTCAAGGACTGGATTTGGCTTCTTCTGGCTGGTGGGGCCTGGGGAGTGAGGAGCTGCTTGGAGAAGGTTCCTCAAGGTCTTTCCTACCCATTGGCAGAGTCTGAGGTCCATTTTGGGGGGACAGATGGCAGTGGCACCTGCTGGAATCAGAGTGAGTGAGGTGCAGGAGCCAAGGCAGAGCTTCAGGAATGACTTCTGACTTCTCAGAGTGGCTGCCACTGGAAAAGTCTCTGGGTCCCAAGATGTTAAGCCAATCTCTTTTTTTTTTTTTTTTTTTTGTTCCTCTCTTAAAGGGCTTTGCACACCTGTCCACAACTTACTGCACTGGTTGATAATTTTTGGACAGTCTTCTGTCTCACTGGGATTTTTACTGCAGTAGGTTTCCTCTTGTAGATCCTCCAGAGGCTTAACCAGGGATAACTGAATAAAGAACAGTTCTTTTGTAATGGAAGGAGAGTCACTAGAATTTTGAGAAGTCTGAGAAGGATGAAGATATCCAGAGTATTCTCCTGAAGACACAAATGTGCCACCTGCTGCACAAGTTGAGAATGGAACAAGAGAATGGGCCACCTTTTTGTTTTCTGCTACAAAAGTGGAATGCGGCATATTTTTAAGGGAGTCGCATTCTCCCCTGAATTGTACAGTCCTGGGCAAAAATAGGGGAACAGCCTCCCTGTGAATCTGGGATTAGAAAATGTGTAGAGATGAACCATGGTGGAAGCATCATAGAAAGACGCTATCCCCGCATTATAGTCCAAATAAACCCCAACTCTCTTGGGAAAGGCGATGGGGCACAGCCTTTGAGGAGGGGTGTCCTTGGCTGTTAACTCCATCCCATTCCGCAGCCGGATTACCCAGTACCCATTGCCAGGGGAGGCAGAGATTTTCCCCTTACGGTTGATGGAAGTGCTCACCAGGCCTAAGGTCCAAGAGGGCTTGTTGCCAACTTCCACCTCCCAGTAATGTTTTCCGGAGGAGAAGCCCTGACAACCCAACACTGCCACACAGTAGTTGAAGCGCATCGGCGTGTCTGGGACATCCCGACGGAGGTGGCCGTCTCGGACACACCTATAGTCATCCGAAAGGACCAGACAAGGGTGAGCTGTTTCAGGATCCAAGGTTATCTGGGGAAAATCTGTAGAATGGAGAGAAGGAGGGCTATTTCAATCATGTCTCTTTATGGCTTAATGGGATTCTATCAATCCCACATTCCCACCTTCTGGAATTGTGTGGCATACAAGGAGGCAAAGGGCACACAGAAGGCAAAGAAGCGAGCAGAGACCTTCTGAGCTGCCAGTGACAGAAGGGGCATCCTCAGATCCATTCCATCAGGCGTGTTGAGCCCCGCTCAGCCCGAGGGCTGGATTGCATTTGGAATCCTTCCCAGGCATGGCATTCCAGGAGCGAGCAGAGCTGAAGGCAAAAGAGTGTCCGCTAAATACCAGCGGCGTTTGCCTGGAGGTCCTCCCACCAGCACCTAAGCCCCAGGGGAGGCATTTTCAAATGGAGGAAAAACTGCACAAAGTCAGAAAGCCACCAAACGATCCATGGCTGGGGGAAGAGCTCACATCCCTCTGCTGAATCTAGAGTGTTCCTTTTGGTCATTGCCACTGTCCGATGTTTCAGGCTTGAGCCTTGGGTGTGGCAGCTTGAACCTCTGTCCCTGAGCCTCCAGAGCATCCTTCAAAGCCTGGAAGGCCACTGGGCAGGCTGAGCTGGACATGAGGGGTGTTGGCAGCCCACCTTGCTGGGCTGGTGTTCAGCCTGAGCAGCCTCTCCTCCCTGCCTACACTGCTGGGAGCTAGGGCGCCCCCTCACTCCTCTCTTGTGGACCGATGGCCAATTCAGTATAAAGAAGCTTTTTATGTTCCTCATGCATTTGGTGGTCCACACTAGAAAAGGGCCAGGGGTCCAATGATGTCCTTCTGCCTTTCATGTCTCAGAGGAAAGAGAAACTCCTGCTAACCAACCTAATCTGTAACATTTTGATGGGGTCCCATCAGAGAAGACGGCAAAGGTCCTTTTGCAGTTCTCCCAGTTAGTCCCATTACCTATGTTGAGAAAAGATCTCATTTCTCTCCAGGCCACGTACTGAAGAGCCCCCTTGAATTGTTCAAGGATCCATGACACGGGTGGTGCAACGGGAACAGCAGGAGCGGCTAGTTGCTGCTTCGTCCTTGGACAGATGGGGAAAGAACCAGAAACAGAGAGACGTGTTTCTATTGGATATACAGGGGCACACACATATCAAGGGGCAATGTCCCTTTAATGGCACTCACCTCTTCAGGAGAGAGTGGATTCCCTGTGGATGAGAAGGGGACAAGAGGGAAATCAAATTAGCAGAGCAGCTAGGAGATCTGGCATTCTATCCTAAATCCAGGGACCACCACTTTGCCCTGGATCTGCAATACTGTGCATAGAATGGGATAGGGAACGGTTAGCCCTTCCTCATCCAGGCACTCAGTGAGATGTTGTGGTGTCAAACAATGTTCACAAACATTCTGTTTATTTGGGGTGAAGGTGTCAGCAATGGAATCTTCACAATTTTACAGTTCCTGAGGGCCAGGTAGAAGGACCCATTTGCATGGCATGGAAACCTCACAGAGGGTCTCAATGCAAGAGCTATTTGCATTGTTGGTTATCACTGAGCTATTGAGTAGGCAAGGCAAGGAAGCTAAGGCAGAAGTAGCTCAGATGCAGGGCTGCTGGAGAAAGGAAGCAAAGAAGAGAGTAAGGTGCAAATCAAGGACCAGAAGGAACAAGCAGATACCTCAAAGCTGGGGCAAGAACTTGGAGAGAGAAGGAGAAACAATCCAGGTGAGAGTCTGCTCAAGTTTTGCTGGACTCCAGCATCACAAGCAGCATCAGAGGTTGAGCCCTTGAGTCTAGGTGACTTCAGTAGCACCCCGGCCTAGAGAAGGGCTGGGGGGTAAGCACTTATAGGAGAGGAAGTGGCAAAGAACATGAGTGAAACCATCACACTAGGTCCTAAGATGGGAATGGCCATATTTTGCTTATATATTCCTTTCTATTTAATTTAGATTTCAGACTGAAATCCAACCCTCCAGATGAGTTGCATTATAAAATATAGCCAGGAAAAAACAGTCCTTTCACATGTTAAAACCATAACAACCAGAAAGAACCAGAACAACCCTATTCTGTTACAAGCTAGCAGGAAGAATTTGGTATGGCTGATATGCAATGCAAAGTAGTTTCACTGGCCATCTTAATACCTATAATGAATAGGCTGCTGAACATCTTGCAGGAGGCAGGTGAATGGGGCACCACTGAGAGCACCTTTCACTCGCCACTTGGCCTGGCCATTGCGGGTCATTGGCCTCAGAGCTAGGCCCACCTGACACTCTGGGTCAGAGGACGATCAGATGGGAGAGAGACATCCCTGAGACTGCATGACCATTGTGTTTAGAAAAGGCAGAAGCAGGAGGCCAATGAGCTGTGGAGCCCGAGCATAGGACAGATTTTTCTCTCACATTTTCAGCTACCCAGGCAAGCATGGAGGGGGGCGTGTTTCCAGCCAAAAATAAGTGGCATAAACAAGGCAGCTTTGAAGAAGAAGAAGAAATCCCTCTTCCCAACAGAGTCCCATGTCAACCTGACACACTCAGCATCTTCCATTACTGGAGTGTCTATTTCCGAAACTACTGAAAAACTGAGATCACATGAAGTGGGAACATAATTTGCTATTGTGCGTGGTGGGCGAGTAAACTCAAGAGAGAACACCCAAGAATTCCTTCTTCCACGCCCAACACCCATTCCTCATATAGGTGCAGTTCAAAGCCTGGTTCAGCTCAGTGCCTTTGCAAATTTCCGATTAATAGAACAACCCCAAAGTCATCATCACTCACACAGCCATTGTCATGAGCAAACACTGAGAATGTCTATGCGTTCACCCCATGCTTACTGTGGTCACCATGTTAGGCTGCAGGTGAGGGCTTATGCAATGGAAAGAGAAAGACCATATTTGAAAACCAAAATCCCTGTATGTAGAAATCCCAAATATCAGGGAGAAGGCTCAGCTTGACCCTCTCTCGCTGACAACTAAGTCTCTATATAAACAGCCTTATTTTGTGCCAACAAACATATATCCATTTGAGCCAACTGAAGGGCACATAAGGGGCCAATAGGGTCGGCACTGACTGGCAGCAGTTTCAGGGTCTCAGGAGAGGAACCTTGACCCAGCCTTGTCTAGAGACATCTAGGAAAAACCCTGGGATTTTCCACATGTAAAGCATTTAACCTACCACTGAGCTAAATGCACCTTCAAGTGATGCAACCCAGGTGCAGAATTACCACCTTGGAGAGAACCAAGCCTTAGCTTCAGCTGTAGCCAGCTTTCACAGAAACCAGTCTTCTCCTTACCGTTAGGAACTCTGCAGAGTCTGCCAGCTCCAGGTGACCCTGGGCTTCCAACAGCAGTTCCTGGCACACCTGGCTAGCCTTCTTCAGCATCCTCAGTCTCTCTTCTGTCTCCTGGAGTACAGCTCCACCTTGCTTCTCCAACCTTGCCTTGCATGCCATCTCATGAACATAGAGGAAGTGGTGGAGCTGCCTGAAGTTGGTGGAGATATGGTCTGCCAGACTGAGCATAATTGCCTTGGAAACCAGAAAGGTATATGAGATATTTCCCTCCATTGCTGAGGACACAAATATTGAGCGTCAGCTTCTCTTCACTTCTTTACCTGATGGTTCTGGAGCGTCTCTTTTTCTTCCTTCCGAAGCATGTCAAGCTGGCTGAAGTGAGACTGCATCTGAGAAACAGCCAAAGATAGCTCCTCCTATTCAAGAATGGGAGGAGAAGTTCAGACGGTCAAAGGAAAAATATGCCTCACTGGGCATTCAGAATTTTTTTGTGTGAAAGTCTGCCCATCACTTCCTCTCCGTGCAAAGGATGGGGGACAGTCCCCATTTGTTATGATGGGCTTGATTAGCATATTTAGGTGAGTTTGAAAAATTGAATGAAAAATTGAGTCTTGATCAAGTCTTGGTACCTTGGTAGCTCTAGCTTATGAAAGAGTCAGTATTCAGGGAGAGGGAGAGAAAGAGTTGGGAGGAATTTCTGTAGTTTAAATTTGAGCAGAGACAGTGGTCTGGTTCACACATAACACTAACCCATAGTTTATTTAAACCATAATTTGTTAACCTAACTGGTGTTCATCTGGCAGATGATCAAACAAACATACTTTGTTTTCTCAGTCCTTGTATGGTTTCTCTCCTCCTTTGTTCAGTCCCTTTCTGTATTCCAACTGCCTTTGCACTGATGTGTACAAAGACTGAGGGTCTCTGCAGCTCTTTTCCACAGCCTCTGCAGCCTAGCACAACAACCAACAACCCATAGTTTAAACAATTTACAATTCACAACCCAACAACAAGCCATGGGTTCTCTTTGGGGGTTGTTTGTTGGTGATGAAACAACCCTTAGTTAACCCTAAGTTCCAGGTTCCCATGTAACGTCATTCTACCATTCAACAAACCATAGTTAATTAAAATATAGTTTGTCCTTACCTATGAACAGGGACTGAAAGAACTGCTTGTTGGCTGAAGGAAAAGTTGTTTAAAGAGAATCTGATACAAGTTCAGCCCGTGTGATTTTAATTGTTGAGTCACGCAGGACAGTTTCAATTCTTGGGTTTTTCATTTGCTGCTGTACCAAGAGGTGGTTGTTATAACTGCTATGCTGTTGTCTTGTTGTTGCTCTCTGTTTATGGTTTTATTTGCTTTTAATATAACTTTTATTGTATATATTATTTTAAATTGTGCACTGCCCAGAGATCCCATGGGCTAGGGGACAGTATGAAAAGAACCGAACCGAACAGAACAGAACAGTTCTGCCTGCTCCAAGAGTTTGCTTTATTCCACTATGCTCTCCTTGTATATTTAGAAATAAAGCATATTTTACAAAGACCCCAGAAATCTTCAATATTTTCTTACCCAAAGAAAACTTGAAGCCTGTAGTGCAGCCTTCTCCAATCTTCTTGATGCTACCACAATTTAGAGTTGCTGGCTAGGGATAATGGGTGTTGTAATCCAACACCTCTCTACCAGGTGGGCAAACCAACTGCTGGAAGGCTGTTAAATGCACAGGGGTCCTTCAAAAAGACCCAAGCCAGCTAGCCTTAGAAAAACTGCCTGGTTTTGTTCAGACTCCCAGTTCTCAGTCACTAGACCCACAACCCAATCCAGGAACAGAACCCAAATGATGTACTTGGACCCTGACGCACCTTGTAGCCCTTCATAGCCTCGCGGACAGGGAGTTGGACACGATCCCGGGGCAGTTTGGATACTCTGCGGTCGGCTTCACTGCAGCGCCCCTCCTCAGCCTCCCTGGAAGACAGTCCCTGGATGCGGTGAATCAAGGTCCCCAGGAGTTTGCAGGGAACGTAAGTCTTCTCCGGAAATGGCTCCCGGCACTGGGGACAGGTGGGCCTGCTGTCGCAGGTCGCCCATGCCGCCTCAATGCAAGCCTGACAGTACAGGTGCCCACACGGGAGGGTGACCGGCTCCGAGAAGTACTCCAGGCATACTGGGCAGGAGAAATCTGGGGTCAGATCTTCAAACATCATGGAGGAAGCCATGGCCAGAGCTGTACACTCAGTGGACCCACAAAGAGGGTCCGAGCCCACTCTGGATCCACACAACAGTTGAATCTTCACGCTCACTCCCAAAACTGGGAGGCGCCTGTCTCCCAACCCGCTAAATCCGACCGCTGGAGGCAGAGGGCAGCCCTGGCGTTCTTGCTGCCCCTCCTGTTGTTATTGAACTTGCTCTCCAGGCAAGCACTATCTGCGTTTCTCAGAAATGCAATGCTGGACTTTGCCCCAAAGACCGGGCCGATTTGTGCAAGCAGTCACAGAGGCCCTGACGCAGGAGCCCTGCTCATACAACCCACCCCTTTCGCACATAACACTTTCACACAGCCGGTATGGCAGCTTTCCAGCCTTTCCCCCACTAGTTCTCCTCCTGTGTCTTTGACAGCTACCCGACCTGCAAATGTTACAGGAAAGTGCTCCTTAATTGAACCCCTTGCCAGAAAACCTTCCCCTGGCAAATCTCAGGAGAGGCAAAGGAGTAGGGCTAGCTGAAACCCCCCAGCCCTGTGCAATTAGGTCAGCTGGGATAAGAGGTCAAGCAGGATGCCCCTAGAGTGTGCAGGTCTTCGGCTATAACTTCATCCGTTACCACTAAATCACAAACTAGGTTGTGGAAGCGCTTGAAGAGCAGGAGGTCCTTCGCTCATCTTATGCCCAAGTTCAACAGCTCAGTTTCTCCTCTTTCTCAGAGGTAAAAAAAACCCACCCCGTCCATATCCTCTACACCAACAGCAACATGTGTGCATGACAAGAACCCATCTCCAGGCGCTGTTGCTATTACATTGATATCCCATTTTCCCCCTTATGAGGAACCCAAGTGGCTTGCATAGCTCCATTTCATCCGTGCAACAACCCTGTGAGGGAGGTGAGACTGAGAGCAAGTGGCCGGCCCAAAATTACACAGAAGACTTTGTGGCCGAGTGGGGACTAGAAGCTGGATGGCTCTGTATGCTTGGACTGCTATTAACAAGATTTCTATATACGATTGAGAAAGTTAATTGCCTTTGTGCTGCATATAAGAAATGGAGAACAGCAGTTCATCCCAGAGGTTGTGCATGGATGTGAGTTATGGATCAAAATTACTACTGATTTGCCAGAAGAGCCACAGAAACGACAACAAAAAGAAAATAGATTTTATTTCCCATATATACAAACAACCAGTCTACCACCATCCATAACATTTCTCAGGATGTAAACTCTCCCAAAGCGTACCTCTGTCTTTCCCATATGACTAAAAGCCAAGGGGAATTCACAGCAAGCCAAGCTCAAAATTGGCAAGACAAAAACAGTGGTTTACCATTAACAATCTCTTCACTGACCCACTGAGAAGAGGTGTTGACCAAAGAGAACTTCACTATTTGAGAACACACAAGATCCTTGTGGTGACCTGAAGGGTAAATGCCAGGAGAAGGAAGACTAGCCTTATTAGTCCACCAGTAAAGCTCTTAATGCATTCATTCTGAACCTTGAAACTGTTAAAGCCTAGTTCACACCAAGAACGGATGTGGAGGAAACCCACTTTCTGGACTTCCTGCGGGGATGCGTGCAGTGGAGGCAAGGTTGGCTGCTCCAATGCGTCAGCATACAATTCTCTGTGCATAGAAAAAAGTGTGATCCTCTGACACATCTGGGGGAAGACATGAGCCCACCTGCTTCCTGACATCCTAGTTCTCTGTATACAGAGATTTGTTTGTTTCCCTTCTGACAGGTGTTTCCCTTCTGACAGGAAAACAAAGGGATTTGTTTTCCTTCTGACAGGTGAGCTCAGCACAGTGCAGAAGCCGGCTTATCTCCTCACCTGCCGGTTCTGTGGACAGAAGGAGAGGGTTGTTCTCTCCCTCCTGCACTCACCTGGCACGCACCACCCAGCTTCTGACCCCTTACGCCCTGTGGCGGACTGCTCCAAAGCGGCTAGCAGAGAGTGGAGGTGGGTGGTTTTGCTCTGGCAGGTAAGGACCAAAATGTGTGCTTCGCGCTGTTTGCAGCCCTTATGTGTTCACAGCACTGCTGGACTGGGCATCTGCTACCACAAGCAGAAAGATTCTGCCAGCCCCGCACTGTTATTATCAGCCCATGGGGACAACTTCTCAGCCAGGATGTTGCCATTCCAGAACGTTCTGACTAGGCCCCGCCTTGGCTCATTCCAAGAGGAAGCTCCACCAGCCAATCTGGGAAGACCTCCGGGTTCTACCCCAAGCTTTTTCTCAGGTAGAGGATTGCCAGCTGCTCAGGTGTCATTACAGGGGAATTTGGGCATGGAAACAGGGGAAAGCGAATGACGGACACCAGTGTGGAAGGCGATTTGATTCACTTTTGAAGATGGGCATCGACAAGTCTTGGGGGCTGAACGATACCTAAACATTTGCAAGCAAAGGCCATTTGGGTTTCCAGGTTTGCCGCCGCCACTCCAATATGTGCCTCTCTTTTGCCAACGCGACTCCAACACTTTCCAAAAGTGATACCCACACAACAGCGATAGTAACACCTCAAAATCACAGTTGCTACAATGAACCACCAACCAGCACGCATAAACGCGGCCGAGCCAAGTTAAGCGTTCCATTTGAGGAATATAGTAGATGTTCTGGCACCTTGTACTTGCGGCTGAGACTTACAGAACCAGCACCACGGGATCAGGGGAAGAGGGAGAGGTACCTGACACGGGGGAAAACCCAGAACCATGGAGCTTGCCGTGAACATGCTGGTGGCGGAGAAGAGTTGAGCTGTCTCTGCAGCCTTTGCCGCATTCGCCACACTGGAAGGGGTGCTCGCCTGTGTGGCTGCGCTGGGGGCCGGGCAGTTTGGAGCAGTGGTGGAAGCTCTCGGGACGGTCAGGGCACGTGTGGGGCTGCCTCGAGGCGTGTGTGAGTTGGTGTTGGGCCAGCAAGCTGGGCGGGTGGAACGAGCAGCAGCATTCCCGGCATGTGTGTGGATGCTCCGTGCCACGGATGAGCTGGTGCTGGGAAAGGCCGGAATTCTGGGTGAACATCTGTCCACAGTCAGGGCACTGGGGGAGCTTGTTCCCCGCTAAGAGCACTTGGCAGGGGGACTGGAGACTGGGACAGTTTTCCTGGCTGTCGGGGTGGGATGAGCCACCATCGTCAACAAGCAAGCAATCGTCGTCCTCGCCCTCAGGTTCCTGCTTCCACCCAGGGCCCTCGCTGCCCCCAACCTGGAGCTCCACTATCTCCCCACCCTCAGGGTTCCCACAGCAGAGCTCCAAGCTCTGCTGCGGCTCCTGGTCCCCAGGCCGGAGCTCCAGGGTCACATCCCGTGTGCGATCTCCACCGTCGATCTCCGTGGTCCACCCATGTCCGTCGTCCCCAACGCGAAGCTCCAAGATCTCCTGGGCGTCATGGGCTGGCCTAGCAAGGGGCCCCGAAGCTGGCTCGCCCACGCCGTTTCCAGCCCATCCGCGAGCCTGCTCTCCATCCCGTGAGCCCGCGATCCACTCGCACCCCCACCCGCCCCCGCAGAGGCCCAAGCCCCGCCCCAGCTCCTCATCTCCAAGGCGGAGGCCCACCCCTGGCCCAGCCTGCTGTCGCCACTGCAGCTGGTGCACCCGGAGGTGCTGGATGAGGTTGGAGCGGCGGCTGAAGCACCTGCCACACTCCGGGCAGCTGTGGGGGCGCTCCCCCGTGTGCACCCGCCGATGCTGCCGCAGGTTGGAGCTGAGGCAGAAGCCGCGCCCGCACACGTCGCAGCGGTAGGGCCGCTCCCCGGAGTGGATCTTCCGGTGGCGGGCCAGCTTGTAGCGGTCGCAGAAGCACTTCCCACACTCGGGGCACTCGCAGGAAGGCTCCCCGGAGTGCTGGCACCGGTGCCGGGACAGCTTCGAGCGCTGGGCGAAGCTCTTGGGGCAGTCGGAGCAGCGGTAGGGCTTCTCCCCCGAGTGTGAGAGCCGGTGCCGAGCCAGGGCGGACTGCCACGGGAAGGTCTTGCCGCAGTCGGGGCAGGCCAAGCGGGGCTCAGCCCGGTGCCAACGGGGCCTGTGGCCATCCCTGCTGGGTGAGCGGCTTTTGCCTGTGGTATCCCAGCATTCAGTGGGGCCCAGGGACCTCGGGACGGTCAGATCCTCCTCCTTCCAAGACGGCCGCTCCTCGCAGTCTGACTCGCTCGAGAGCTCGGCAGCTCCTGGGAAGGCATGGGCAGAGAAGTGGGGGAGATATTAAATGGGCTGCACTCCCAGTGTCCCTCACATTGGCCAAACTGGTTTGGACTGATGGGGGTCGAAGGGCAAAACATTTGGGATGCCAGCAGTTGCCCACAACTGCCTGCAAGGTGATTGCCACATCATATGCAGCGTGGCTTCTTTCCCATCAATTCTCGAAACACTGAAAAGTGTCTTTCCAGACTCAGGAACAGCACAAGGCATTATCCACCCGCATCCAAGCCAGCCACCCCCATCCTAAGCGCTGCAAGCAAGGAAAGGGGAGGATGGCCAAAGTCTCTGCACTGCTCTGCAACTATTTCTTTTCACTGGGCCCAAGAGTGCTACTACTCATCATACAAGACACAATAATGAAACCCCACACTCCTTCCGTCCTCTTGGAAAAAAATCGTTTCAGCTTCCTTTGCTTCTCTCTTACAGAAATGCATAGACAAACATAGAAACATATTGACCTGGTTTGCATGTAACAGTATCTCAGAGGATGGACTGAATATGGGTTGAATGTGGATTGAGTATGGTTTGTTACTAAAGTGGGAGTAGTTGTTACATGCATACCCTGCACTATGGTTTAACTCTAGGTTATTAACCACAAACAACCCAGAGTTCACAAGCCAGCAGCAAACCATAGCAATCCATAGTTCAACCATAGTGTAAGTTTTACATATAGTGTTAGCCCACTCAACCCAGCCTCTGGGTTATCATTACTTGTGAACTAGGCCATTACCTCAATCAATGATTTTCCTTTTTTTTTTTACCTACAAAGAATCTGCCACATGTTGACTTGTCTACTGAGGGACTGCCCCTCCACCAAGAATTGTAGAGTCTCCTGGGACACAAATACACACTCGCGCCTCACAGAGGGATGATCCGGTTCATTCTGCTTCACTGTTAGCCTACATCACTTTTCTCAACCTGATGACTTCCAGGATTTTGGACCTTTGTGTATGCTGGTTGGGGCTAGTGGGAATTAAAGCCCAGAGTGTCTTGAAGGCACCCACTTGGAGAAACTTTCCCTAGAGCATGGGTCTATCGGGATATGTTGGTAAATCTAACAGCTTTTTTTCACCAAGATCAAAAACACTATGTGCCTAGATCCTCAAGCTTCTGGACTCCAAGTTGTTTGCATGTCCATCTGGGTGAACTGCTATTTTACACCTGACCCTGTTAGGTTAATCCTGATCTTGTAATAAGAAATAAAAGTATACTTGTATAGACTGCTTAAAAAATAAAACTATGGTGCAGATTATATGCATTTATATTTTATGTATTATATGAAAATCAACACTCACTAGAATTTGGTCAGATAATAGATAAAGACTTCTGATAAATCCTCTTAGGATATTCCCAAATTATTTAAAAGATTGTGTGGAAAAGGTAGTTGTAGAATTGGTAATTAATCTTTTGACAGCAGCAAAAAGCTTGGTAGCTTCAATTTGTCTATCCAATTTTTTACAATCTGGGATGTCATAAGGACTAGAGAAAAACAAATGCTTGAAGTTAAGCTGATACAAAGATGGTGCATCTATCTTTTTATGATAAATGTAGTGTTCATTTTCTGACATTCTTTTGATTTTCCATTGCTTTCTTTAACCTGAACTTAAAGGATGTGTGTATTGCAGGATTATTTATGTAACTTCCAATAGGATTAAATGTTTTTAAAAATACAAGGATTCCCCTAGTCCCCCAATGTATTTTCAGCTCTCTTAATGGTTAAGGCGTTAAGAGCTTCCAACGACTGTACTGTGGTTCAGGACCACCTCGTGCAAGGACCACCCACCCCAGCTTGCTCTGCAGAAATCCTTCAACCCGCAGGCACTGGGTGGGCGGTGAAAAACTACCTTCTAGCGCAGTACGAGCATCACAATCCACCTTCCACTGAACAAGGCAGGAGAAAATGGGAAGTGATGGGAAACCTATCTGTTCCCAGGGACTGTTTCACAGACTGTTTTGTGTTTCCTGAACACAAAAGAAAACCCACTCCTCACCCACAACCCTTGCCGGAGTCCTTTCTGCAGAGTCCTGAAGGTTTTGCAAACATGGCTCCTGGTTTCTGCCTCTCTCCATCTTGAAGATCAGGTCTGGTTTGCGAATCGGAAATCCTGCCAGTAAAAGGGGGAGACAGGAGAAAAGTAAGTAATAGAGGATTGTTTGTTTATTTATTATTTGTGGGGAAATAATGCATACACAAAGATTCCAATTGGCCAGAATGATTTGCTGTACAAAAAACATTTCCTTTGGATCACCCCAAAAGCCTGAGATGTCACTGCTGTGCCCTTCAAATCAAAGATCACATTTAGGGTGCAATCCTACATCTGTTTGGAAAGGAAAAGGTCCTGAGATCCCCAGCGTTCCCCAGAAAGCCACAGAATGCTGCACTTAGAGATCCTCACTTGATAATGCTTATATTCGCATTTGGCATTTTGTATTTTCCTGCAATAGAAGTGTCGTCTGAAAGCACTCCACTTAGACCTGTGACACCGCAAAAGTACTCACTAGAAGATGCAATCATGCAACAGGAAGTTGAAGGCAGGCGGAGAGGAGAGAGCAGTGCGATGGATCAGGTCCATCGATTCCAATTCTAGGGCTGCCAAGAACAGGGCATTTTGGAAGGGACACGTTCATAGGGGCACCGTGAAGCAAAGACACTGTTGCACCTGCCCATCCCCACTTCTAGGGCCAGCTGCTTGGTCCCCCCACTCCCCCTTCATTGGTTCACTCAGCACACAATGCGCCTGGCAAGTTTCCGCCTTCCCCCTTCACCCACACGGCAGCTCCCTTCCTCCTCCTCCCCCTCTGCTCTGCTCTGCTCTGCTCTCTGGGTTCAGCAACAGCATCATGAGACTCTAAGAGAAATTGGTTTGCAAACTGCATGCATCCAGGCATGCTTGACATCACTGTGCATGCCGTTTCAGAGACCCTTCCCATGATGGAGGGCCACCCATGCAAGGCAAATAGATTTCTCTGCCAGAATCGCAGAGTCCCACGTCCAGTTTCCATACCGCCTGTGTTGTGGGAGGGGAGCACAGAACCTTTCTGGAGAAGCCCAGCCTGCTGGGGCCCCTTCTCTTCTCCAGGTGGGGTTCCTTGGAAAAGATGGGGCCCTCGACTTGCACGCACATGCAGGGTTTAGTCCCCTCAGGCAGGGGCGAGGACTGCTAGCAGCAAATGTTTGTATGCTGTGGGGCTACGGTGCTGGCAGATCCCAAGAGGCAGATTCCAGCTGCATGTGATGGTTTTCAAGGGTGAAGTCTCAATCTAGCAGGAATTCTCCCTGGCCAATGAGCTGCAGGAAGGCCCCTTCTTTAGAAGCTCCCCAGTTCTAAAGAGGGAAACCCTTCCCGAGTCTGGGTGACATTTTGAAGTGTGCCTTAATGGCACATTACAGCGTCCCCAATGCAGTGATGGCGGGCTGCACCCCGTGAGGCTAAGGGAGAGGAGTTGCTGGAGAAGAACCCTGGATGCCAGAAGGGAAGCTGTGACGGTTGGCACCAGCCCCCCCCCATGCCTCTGAGCCCCTCTGCACCAGCTGCAGCCAGGCAAGGAGCGTGCAAGATCCATGCAGCTGCTTCTCGGCAGAACCGGGAGGACGAAACCTGCAAGCCCCACGCCCAGCCCAGGGCATCCATTCCAGCGTGGCTGCAGAGGTGGTCCTCAGAAGAGCGGCCTAGCAGGACATCACGCCATGCAGGGAGGTGTGCAGCTGGTGGAGCTGGCAGGAGACCTGTATACACCCTTGGATGCAGGGTAAGGATGTTATATTAGGTGCAATCCTGGGCACAGCTTTTGGGCAGCAGCCCCTGCACACCCACAGAAGATGTTCAGGGGTATTTCTGAGCAACACCTTGCGGTTTCTGTCTGAGCACCCCCTTCTCAGAAACTGAGGCCCTCGCTCCTGCTGTTGCTGAAACAAAGATGCGTTTCCCTGCGGACGCGTCTTTCATGCAGAGAGGTTTGGTTGGGTTTGGGAGGTTAGCGTAAGGACTGCGGCGATTTCGGTGGGGAGGCCTTTTCTGGCCAGGGAGGGTCCTGCCCTTGATGCTGACCCCAAGGGAGGAGAGGAGCGTGAGTGGGAGGCGGGACAGGGAGGGTGGAATGTGGGCCAGAGGCAGCGGTGGGTGAGGAGGGGCAGACACAGCTGCTGGAGACAAACTACAAAGCGGGGACTGGTGCGGAGCAGGGCAGGAGATTTCTAGATCAACATGACAAGACAGGAACGAGGGAGGGGGCCTGGGCTGCCCAGGCATTTTTGGTGCTGCATACAGTGGGAAAGGATGTTTACACCAAGGCGGGATAGTTCCAGAGGATGCGGTTTCTTGTGGCCACGGAGACTTCCTGAAGCAGTTTGGACCTGAGCAAGAATAGGGAGAGAGGGAGGGAGGGAGGGAGGTGGGTGCAGGGAGATCCCATGGGAGGGTGGCAGGCAACAGGCACTGAAGGAGGGCATGGAGAAGGGGGTGGCTGGTCAGCTGGCCAAAAAAGGCAAACCTCCATGCCGGATGATGAAGGTGCAGGGAGGGGGCAGGCGATTCGCAGGGGAGATGGATCAAAGCAGCAAGCTGGGCTTTGTTGGGCAGGTTCGGTCCTTAAGGGGCAGATTTGACTGAAGGGTGTCGGGAAACAGACTGCAGATCCATCAGGAAGAGGCAGGCAACGCAGGTGGGAACAACGCACCTTAGTCTTGAAATTCAGGGATGGTGGCCAGTGAGATGCATGGCACCAGCAGGAGGATGGAGCAGGGGCAAGGGAAACCATCATAACATAGAAACCACCTAATCGTCTGTTGGATAAAAGTGGTAACCATGGAGGGTTGTCATAAGGCTGTTCACATTTATTTATTTATTATATATATATCCCACCTTTCTCCCATTGCAGAACTCAAGGTGGCTACATGTGGTTCCCAGGTGGTCTCCCCTCCAAGCTCAGGCCAGCCCCAGACCTGCTTAGTTTCAGCCTGTGCCTTCAGACCAGACTCTGAGCCTGTAATGATACAGGTGTAGCGCATGAGCAGGAGAGAGCAAATATATGGCTTGCTTTGCAACTGCCTCGTCCATTTTTAATCCACCACGCACAGTCAGCTCCTTCCTGGGTGTGAAGCATGACAATTCATTAAAGAACACTGGGTTGTTCAGAGGCTAAACCACCTGGCAGTTGACCCAACAACAAACCTGCTCTCTTCTGCTCATGCATGACAACCTATTTGTTTTTAGACTGATATAGTTGTTATTACATGAGAACCAGGTCTGTGGGTAACCATAATTTAAGCATCCCACAGTTAACCTAAGAACTAATCATAACCCACAATTAACCCATGGTATTATAGCCATGGGTCAGGATTTAGGTTGATTGCGAAGTTGCATATTCAAAATTAGAGGTACATGCCCTCGGCAAATTGTGGTTTTTTTAAGTTGAGTGAGAGTCCTAAAGGAACAATACATAAGTGTGAACAAGGCCAGGAGACCCTTGACCTCTCCTCTAAATCCGGAAGTATTGGTTCCCACCACTTGTTACAGGGGAAGGTGTGCACCGGTATTTCTAGCCATCACCACTAGATGGCTTTGATGAGTGTGCATGTATGTCAGAGACAGAAAGAGAGAGCGAAGAGGAAAAATTACAGACAGATGATATTAAATGCAGGTGAGTCCTGCAATTAAATATTGCAGAAAGAATAAACTGCTCAGGGTCCTTTCCAGCCAGCTGGCCGTGCTGTTTTCCAAGGGAACCCCATTCTATTCCCCCAGTCTTCTCCCCCTTCACCAGCAGTCAGTCAGTCCAAGACTTAGTGGTCTCCCCACACCAACTCCAGCGTTTACTTTTTCTAAATATTTCTGTACTTTTGAAAATGTAGGACTAAGCTACTAGTCTGCATTTATTTACTTATTTGGGACATTTCAAATCCACCCCATAGCTAGTGTTTTTTGGGTGGGCTGCAGCCAGTTAAAAAATTAAAATATTGCTTCAAAACACAGTTAAACTATAAAATACGATACAAATATTTAAAAGAATGAAAGAAAATAGAATGGCTCAACAGAGGGATGAATGAAATGCAGCTTCCCACTCCTGTGTTTCTCTGTCATAGCAGAAAGTTACAGTTCAGGGCAATGCAGAGGGGGAAAAGACACGTTTGACAAAGCAAGGCCTGCTGGCCTGTACCCCGGGCCACTGAGGTGCGAGGCACGTGGGCCACCCCTGAGCTAGGGATCCTCCTTTAGGAGGGTCCGTGACGGGTATGAGCCAACCAACTTCACTCTCTTGCCTCAGGCCATCCCCTGAGACTCCAGCCCTGCCTGGAAGAGAAGCCCCCACCAGCCCGTCTTCAAGGGCAGCCCCATGTACAGCAGTCAACCCTTAAGGGGGCAAAAGTAGGAGCAGTACCAAGCGGGGAAGAAGCTCAGGCTCCTCCTGTCCACCCTGTATGCAAGCATCTGGGAACCCAACCAGATTCCTTTGCCTTCTGGGCTCCCTGCCCCCTCCCCACCACCAGGCAATTCTCACCCAGTGACCGAACGTTCCCATAATTCTCGAGCATGACCTCTTGGTAGATCTGCCGCTGCCTTTCATCCAGGAGCTTCCACTCTTCCTCGGAGAAATACTCGGCTACCTCTTCAAAAGTCACCAGTGCCTGAAATCATTCAAATGTTCACAGTGCGTCACCCGCTCTGCAATTCACTACCCTCGGGAGGCGTGGTCACGGTGGGGCCCTCACCAAGGGGCCAACAGGGAGAAGGCCCTGCAGGTTCCCCCCCTCAACAATGCAAGGCGCTTGCCTCTCCCCCAGGGCCAGGCAACCGGCAGCGAGGAAGAGGAGGAGCAGATGCCTCGTCTTGCCGATCGGCTCTCCTGCTGTCCATCAAGCAAGTGACAGCAGTGCTGAGAAACTGGGTGGAGCAGAAAGGCAGCTGGGGACACTGGCAAGGAGCAAATGGCCTCACGGGGAGGAGATGAGTGGTTCAAGGACCCTGCAAAACCCAGAACCTGCACAGACCCTTTGTGCAGTTTTCATTACGACACCCCTAATGCCGTTTTTCCAGTGGCTGCATCACCCCAACCCTTGGAACCTGTGGGAGGCCCGCCCTGCCACACCATCACCCCCCAAGGCGCCATGTGATCCATTCACACAACCTTCCTGGTGGGATCGCTCACCTTTTTCCCGTGCCTCTCAAGCAGAGAAAGTCCTGTTAGGAAGTTCTCCACCAGGTCGACCGCCTGCGCACACGTCTCCGGATGCTGCTGCCAAACCCAGCTCTGTATCTCTTGAGGTAAAATTGCCAAAAATTGTTCCAGGACAAGCAGCTCCAGCATCTGCTCCTTGCTGCGGCTCTCCGGCTTCAGCCAGAGGCGGCACAGTTCCCGAAGCTGCCCATAAGCATTTCGCGGACCCTCAGCTTCTTGGTAGCGGAACCACCGGAAGCCCTGACGAGCCGTTTCCATGACAATGCCACCTTCTTCCAAGGTGGCCTCCTGAGCTTTGCCCTCATTGGCCTTGACTTCTGAATCTGGCTTGTGACAAGCCTCTTTTGCGTTTCTCTCCACGTGTGTCGCCCTGTCTTCCGGCTCCCCTGGTTTCTCTGGGGAAGCCACGCAGGCCTGGTTACTCTGCGCAGATGCCACCTCCAATTCGGTCGGCTCCTCTTCTTTGGAGTCAGCCGCTTTCTGGACACAGACCTCACAGACCTTGGGGATGTCCCTGAGTGTCACTTCAGTCTGGATGGCCTTCTCCAGCCTGGGGAGGCCTGTGTCCTCGAGTCGCTCCACGACGTCCTCAATGCTACCTTCGCCTATGACCGTCGGGTGGGTCTCCTCCTCTTCTTGGGGATCAGCTTCGTCTTGGGAAGACACCACACATGCCTCCGTATCATCCTCTGACCCAACACCGGGTTTCGGGGACCCCTGCTTGAAGTCCACCTCTTCCTCTTCAATAGTAATCACACAATCGGGCCCAACCATCACTTCAGTTTTTGACCCTTTCTCTACTTTGGAGTCACAGCCATCTTCAAAAGAGACCACACACGTCTCAATATCATCCCCCAGGGCCTCTTCCAGAATTTTGGCACCGGTTTCCTCATCCTCTGGTGTGGGCAGGATCACCTGTTGCCGAACCTCCCAACACTGAGGCCTCACACCCGTTTCATTTCTATCCATTCTGTCCTTCCGGGACCGAGAGCGCTTCAGGATCTCCTTGATGGTCCCAACGGGAGGTGAGGTCTCCTCCATCTCAACACTGATTTGGACCCCTGGTTCCAACGGTGAAGGGAACCTAAGAACCCAAGTGGATGGCCCCCCTGGCTTGGCAGTCATTGTGGAGGTGGCTTCCCGGAGAAGGAATTAATTGTTCTTGTTGACCCAAACTGGCTCTGGGGCCTCAATTTATGATTGACCCATGAATAACCATCTCTTGGTAGCAAGTGTCAGTGCAGTTGCAGGACATGTAGGGACTCGCCCAGACTTGCTGGGGCCTGCGAGGGCCCTAGACCAAAGGGATGGTCACGTCATGCCAGCAACACTGATGCAACCTGAGTCAAGGTACATAGTCAAGATTGAGCGATCCCTTGCTGAGGCTCCAAACCCAGCCTCCCAGGTGAGTGCAGGGACCACCTGAATTCAAATGCACCAATCAGCTTCTCTGGTGGGAATTTCAAACTAATGAACCTCTGCCCAGTCTTGGCCTGGTCAGTGAAGGTGTAAAAGGGGGTAGCAGCATTGTTCTGGGTCAGTTGCCCTTTTGCTTGTGATGGGACTATTTGCGAGAAAAAAATCCATTATTTTTCCCCTCTCATTCTTGACATCCTTGATTGGGCTAGCAGGCCAAGACTGGATTCCTTGGTGTCCTAACAAAGGGAAGAACGTTTGGTCAAAATACATTGCCATGTGGATAGCAAGCAAGCAAGCGACTATTGTCTCCATCCTCAGGCAGAGAAGAATCAATTCCTGGCAAATAAAACTGCTCTAATGATAAGAAGGAAAAAGACTAGAATCACACATCATAATATTTCTAAAAGTAAATTGCATTTCTGGTTTGCCTTCCAATGCCATGTACACAGGATTTTAGCCATTAAGATGATACAGTGACACTACTTGATCCCCACATCAGACTGTGTGGTAATAGTTAGAAACATTTCTAAGGGGCTGCAGCTCCCCAAAACAGGAACCTTTGCCCCATCCAAAGAAATCTTGCCAACAGTTGCATTACTACAAGGAACAGAGACTAGGCAATTTGGTGCCTCCAGATGTTTTGGACTACAACTCCCATAATCCTTGACCACTAGCCAATTGTAGTCCAGTGCCTCTGGGAGCTGCCTAGCTTACCTATCAGGAGAACAAGATCTTTATCACCAGTCCGCAGTTGTGATAAAGTTGTGGTTTTTCCACGTGAGAGGAAAGAGATGGGAAGTTGCGCTGCAGCGCCGGGATCTCTACTGGCGAGGGCTTGCGTGCCGCCCTTGCCTTTGCACCGAAGTTAGATCTGCAGGAATCGGGAAACTTTCGAGCAAGAGTGTCGCCCGCTGCCAGTGATGCAGGTCAGTGTGCCTTTAAAGGGGCAGCAGACGCACACGCGGGATTTGAAACTCGGCACCCCGTCTTTGGGGGCAGCTTTCACCTTGCAGGCTGCCCTGGGGGATTAAAGTGTCGCCTAATCGTCCCAGGATGTAGGGAAGGGCTGGGTGCCAGGACGCCTGGGTTCTCTCCCCAGTCCCGAGAGCAGGGCAGAACCGGGACGTGCTCCTTTTCATTGCTGGGGAGGGGGCTAGAAAGAAGGGGGGTAAACGGCAGGACTCCTGGGTTCTACAGGCAGGGCAGGTCTGGGCTGCGCGGGGAAGCCGGGGGCTCCAGAGCTAGCCATCCCAGGTTGCGGGAGGAGGGAGCGAAATGAAATTCGTCTTGGGTTCTTTCTCCATGGAGGGAAGGCGAAATTTTGGGGAGATGAGCGCGGAGAAGGGAGGAGAGGGGGCTAGGAGCCAGGTCGCCTGGGTTCTCCCCGCCCTCCCCAGGTCTGAAAAGGGAGGAGGCGGGGCTGCGGTTTGGGTTAAAAGGCGAGACGTCCCAGCCCTCTCCCTCGGTCGCTGGTAGGCTGGAAAGCCGCACAATGTGGAAGGAAAGGGGGCGTTGCGAAGGAGGCGGCGACGGCGAGCCGGACTCCTGGGTTCTCGTCCCACGCTGCGCCGGGAGGGGCACGCATCCTAACCTTAATTGGTAAAAAGCTACTTGTGGCCCTTGGCCCCCCCGTTTCCGCGGTCCGCAGCGGAATCTCTAACCACGGGAGTAGATCCGCCGCCCCGATCCACTTTCGCACCGCTCCCCTGCTCCGCGTATTCTCAGTATTTCTACCTGTGGGAGAAAAACGACCCCCCCCCCCCGAAACTCGCCTTTGCTGGACAGATCTGGAGAATCCTCCGTGGAGGGGAGGCAATGCAAGCCCTCCCCTGCCTTCCCCCTGCAGCCTCCGATCGGGGGCTGAAGGATCAGACCCCCCCCCCCTCCTCAGGAAATGAGCAAACAGCCCGCGCTGCTGGGAGCCCCTCCTGACGAGGCGCAGCCTGCCCTCCCCTTCCGTCTCTTTGCACATGGAGGCGGGGAGAGGGGGGAGAGGGAGAGACAACGGGGTGGGGGGCGGGTTAACCATTCCTTGCCTGGCTTGTTCTGCAAAAGGGGCTGGACTGCGAGGGTCCCACCGCCCCCGCCCCTCAGGAGCGCGCCCGCCTGGCTTACTCGGAGGTAAGCCCCACTGACTTCAAGCGGACTTACGGCTGAGCGGGTCGCGCGTCATCGGGCGATTCGCCGGTTCAGTGGGAAGGCTTGGGATTGATTCAGAAAGGAGATCCCGGCTTACCTGAGCAACAGATTGAATTATTTGCAGGGGTGCCGGGAAACTGCTATATATTGATGGAAATATCTCCAAAAACTACAGGTGGGTGCTGCCATTTTAGAATAGGCATGCCACCTTCTCGCTCAGGCAGTTGGGAATGCCAGCCAGCCAAGCGGAATGCATCATTTAAGTAGAAACGGAGGAGGCCTGGTGTTTGGTTTTATCCTCGTGCCCCCTTCAGAAAGATTGTCCAGTGCATTAAGGTCCGCCGCTTTAATTGGTTCATTATCCCTTTCAACTTCCATAAACTTAGGAAGCTGCCTTCTGCGAAAACAGAAGGTAGAAAATAGGAGTTATTCTCTTTTCTCGGGAGTAGCTGGTAGGTTACTAGTTGCTGGTTGTTCTCTAGAGGATTTGCAGGAAATGGGCAGCAAGGATTTCTGACTCCCAAGAGTTTAAGATCAAGGAACACCGTGATTCCCTGGGCCCAGGGCATCATTATATTTTGTGCTGCTAAAATGAAGAAAGATCTGGAAAATCAGGGGTGCTTCTAGGCAAGGTTTTTGCAGCATTGCTGTACCTCATTTCGGGCACAATCCTGCCCATGGTTGGGCAGGAAAAATGCTACAAATCCCAGCTTTTCCCATCCAGTTGTAGGGCTTTTTCCTGTGGATGGGACCCCCAAGGGAAGCTAGCGGCGAGTCCAGTGCCTTTGATTCGCAATGCTCCCGTGCTCCTTTACGGCATCTTCTGTAATCTTTCTTGTCTCATTAAGGAAAAAAGGCCGGAGTAGAAGTACAACAGCGTATCTAGTAGTCCAAAGAACCCTCTCTCCTAACCTACATCACCCTGGCTCAGAAATCTTTCGCTCTTTTCTACCAGCCTCAGGCTGTTGAGTCTCAGATCTGAGTAAAATACACACACACACCCAAGATCTTGCACAATTGAAGTGTGCCACCTCTGATTGGTCAAAAGACTCCGGCTCTCCAATATTTCCAACTGCATCTTGTCCGGGCCTACCTGGAGATGCCAAAGATGACCTTCTGAGTGCAATGCAGGCAATCTATCACTTAAGTCTTCAATCTGAGACACTCACTGAATCCCACTAAACTCAGGGGAATTTACTTACTAAATCCCACTAAACTCAGGGGAACCCATTAAACTCAGTAAATCCCTCTAAACCCAGGGGAACCCATACACAGAGGGTTCTGTTGTAAGCTTTCTCCAGCCAAATGACGGCCCTCAACTCCATGGTGCCTATTTAATTCAGCATAATACCATAGCGAGTGCAGTACCTATCTTCTTGCACAGGTATGTTACAGATGCACTGAAATCAGAAAGTAACAATAACAAGACAGAGGTTTAAAAACTTGTACCTAAGAATTAAATTTACTGGGGAGCTATGATCATGGTTCCTTAGTACAGTGTACGCTTATGTTTGTCATATTTGTGAGATCTGATGTGCTTCAGTGGGCAAGATTTGCAGAAGTACAAAAAAGTCTTTAAAGTGCCTAATTTGAGGGAGAAACCCCCAAATATGGCCAATGAGGAATGGACGTGCTCAAGTCCTTCAAAATGCCAATTCACACTGAGAAAAAAGTCACTAATGAAGCAGCCCTAACCATTACTGTTTGGAAAACATAACCCACACTCATCAGTTGATTATGGGTTGAGTGTGGCTTGCTGTTGAACCATGGCTTGATGCTGAAACATGGGTTGTGTTGTCTGAACCCAGCCAAGGTAACAAACCATGGAAAACAGCCCACGATTCACAACACAGCAACAACCTATGGGTTCTTTTCATGGATTTTTCATGGTTACCTGCCCAGACCCGATGGTCATCTTCAGTGGTCCTTCTGAGGATGGCCCTGCCAAGAGAAGTCAGGTGAGTGGGCCTTTTCCGTTGTGGCACCCTGATTATGGCATGTACTTCCTGGAGAGGCTTGCCTGGCACCTACACTTCTGATGCCAGGTGAAGACCTTATCTTCCCAGGAATTCTCCCAGGAATCTTAATCTCACATTGTTTTCAATTCTATATTGTATTGTACATTGTATTTCTGATGTTTTACTCCAGTTTTCACTTTTGTACTGTTATTTTAACTATTTAAATTTTATACTATATTTTATACTGTATTTTATATTTTATTTTTTAATTGTTGTGAACAACCCAGGGATCTTTGGCTCTTGAGTAGCATAAACATGTAATGGATAAATAAATGCAATAAATAAAAAGCACACCTGGGCTCAGATATTAAATAATCCATATTACAGCAATAATCCACAGTTCAATGTCAAACTTGTGAGCTATCATGTTGTCAACATGTACAAAGCACATACAAAATTACCATGCCTACAAGCAAAAGGAATTATTTCAGGGTTATTTCAAAGGATCCTCCTTTCCTTCCCAATAAACAGACTTATTCACAACACTCAGGATTAGGAATACTTTTATAGACCAGGAAAATTACAATGCAAAACCAAAACTAAAAACATTGCCTATAAAACAATGGATATAAAAGGAAAAATGCTTATATGTTATTGCTAAAATAAACAATGATGTACTTTCTTCACGATTAAGTGCTTCACCTCATATGAATTTTGTAGGGTCTACGTGAAACATGACAAAGCTCAGTTCAAAAAAATCACATCTCTTCAAGCAAGTGTGCAAATACCACGATGGTTGCAAAAAACAACCGTATGTGCTTCTCAAGGCAAATTCCCCCCCGGCCATGCCTTCCTCATGCCAGGGATGTGCCAATGTGTTTTTTCATGCAGGATAGTCTACACAGGATTGGTGCCATTTCAGTGTGGTGGTGGTAGAAGCGTGCTGTAACTAATGCAGAGAAAATGCCTTTATTTAGTAAACATATATACTGGCCATCAGCCAGGGAGGCTGTCTGGGCAGTTTAGCAAATCCTGGGAATACGCAAGCCAGTGAGACCTCTCAGAGTACACGCATCTGTGTCTTTGTGTGGTCCCAAGTTTATCTTTCATGGGTGATAAACCAGGATTTTTTACCTCCTTCAAGTGCTGGGGGGCAGGATTGACTTCATTCTCAAAACCCATCCGCCCCAATGCCTCCCACATGGTATTGCCTCATTGCCCAGGGCTGTTTCTGCTTTGGGGGGCACCACAAAAGATGGGGGGATTAAGGAAAATTGGTGGGGAAGATTGCCAAAGGCAAGAATGGGTATCCCAATGATGCACCAAGATTTTTCCAGCAGGAGGGGAGGACAATACCCATCTGGCTCCACCTCGGGACACAAAACGCCCATGGCCAGCACTGCGAGGGAACTGGTTCATGCAGCAATTAAAGCAGATCAGCCCTTTCAGAAAAGAAAGCGGAGTGAACGTGCCTCCTTCAAACCTAGGAAAGTTCAGCAGTGCTGTTCCGAAACCCTCCATACCCTGCATTTGAGGCTCACCTGCACCCATTCGAATGAAATCAGCTAGCAGGCTTAGTTCCAACCCAAACTGTTTTCACCTCCAAAGCCTTTGTTTGTAGCCTCAGCATGAAAGTACCCAAGAAATTTTAGTGACTGATACAGAGAATCCCAAAAGTAACATCTCCCTCTGCTGTTAAGAAATAACAAGCTAATTCTTGACATTTTGCTGTACTTTGAGGGTATCCTAAAACTCATCCCCGGAGGGGAGTAGAAAGTCTCCCCTCACCTAATGGTAGAGTTCAGAGCGCGATTTCTTCCTCTGTAAAGGCAGGACGATACCATAGGGAATGCCGAGGAGACTTTTAAGGTTCAGTGGGGAGCGTGAAGATCTTCTCCACCCCCAAACGTCAAGGCAGGCTTTTTCGTAGCTTTGCTAGAGTGCTGTGCACCAGCAAGAGGGAAATGTGTACAGCTCCATGGCCCAACCACATCCTTTAGATAAGGGCTGTTGTCCTGTGAGAACCGAAGCGGCTTTCTTAATTGGAGCTGCTTTCCCCTTGATTCCCAGGAAGGGACGCTCGCCAGCCTTTTGCTGACACCCTCTGGAGGAGTGGGAGAGGAAGCCTGCCAGATCTGCACCTTGCTCTTTCCGGGAGAGGAACTGAAACATGGTTGCCCAAAGACCTTGCAATCCACAAAGCATCCCCTTCCGTGCATCTTGGGAGTCACAGCAACTACGGATAAGTGGAGTACACCCCCCCTTTTTACATTATTATCACTCTTCTACATAAAAACTAAGAAAAGCCATGCTGGATCAGACCCAAGGTCCAACTAGTCCAGCACTCTGTTTGCATGGTGGCAAACCAGCTGCTCCCAGGATCAGGATGAGTGCAGGACCTTCTCCCGCCCAGCTCCTCAGCAACTGGTGTACCCAGGCACGCCACCTCTGGTAAAGGAGGAGGCACATCGCCCACAAGGCTAACAGCCGCCGGTAGCCTCCCTCTTCTTCATAAGTCTGCCCAATCCCCTTTTAAAGCCATCCAAATTGATCGCCGTTGCTACTTCCCATAGCTGTGAATTCCATAGTTTATACACTGCATGAAGAAGTACTTCCTTTAATCTGTCCTGAATCTCCCCATCAATCTGCTTCATAAGATGAGCCCTCTGGGTTCTAGTATTATGGGAGGGAGAGAGAAATGTTTCCCTCACCACTTTCTGCACAGAAAGCGTCGTTTTAAGCACCTTGATCATTTCTCTCCTCGCATGCAATCCATGTTCCAACTCTGTAATCCATAAACTTACGTAATTCTTACAAGTGGTTTTGTTTCATCTTGGTAATTCTTCAAATCTACCTGATCTGGGCACCTGGATGGATCAGGTTACCCAAACAATGCATCCTCACACACACCACCACCCCAGCTTTTAAAAGGAGATTTGGGTAAATTGCTAAATTGTATTTGATATACACCCCTTAGATCCTGCATCTTGTGGAGAAGTTAGAGGGTTAGGCTTGAAATAAAAGCAAAACTGGGGCCAAAGAGGAAAAACAGCCATTCCCACCTGGATAGCTGGAGAATGCTAGTGAAGAAAGATGGCCACGGATTTCAGAACACCTCTGGGTCAAAGAGGATATTGGCAGATGCACCTACCCTGGCTCCCAACTGGCAAAGGGCCATGCACCGTCTTCATTTGAATCACAATATACTTCCTGAAACAATTGTGCACTTTATGCATGCAGTTATCTCAGTGAGGTTTTTTACAATCTGGAAAGGGGTTTGTTACATAGTTCAAACTGAAGGCTTAGCTCATGAAGAAAGAGGAGAAGCAGCGGCTGCCACAAGCAGGGGCATTTTAGAGCAAAAGGAAAAAACTGTTAAAAGACTGATTATTGAGTGCATCAAAGCCTGTAAAATGAAACCCAGCACTTTTTGACATTCACAGTCATTTTGATTATCGGGTGTGATGCCACGGAAAGCTAGAGGCTAGTATATGATGTAGGTCTTCAGCCAATTACCAGGCTCTGCCCTGTCTTTAATGTACCCAAATCTCCATCTAAATGGAATTCAAAAAGGCAATCCTAAAGCTCAGACAACTGTAGAGGAAGCTAACAATATTTTGTGTAAAGCATGGTCCAGTGGAATCATGGGCACAGACAAAGTTTGCTGTTGAATAGCAAACTTTAAAAATGTATGTATATACACCGCAATTTACAATGAGATTAATTCACACCCCCCACATGGTAGATTCCACACATTTAGCCTGTTTTCCTCAGATTTGCCATCCAGAATTGGGACAGAATCCAGTGGTTCTGATCTCCACTGATCAACCTAGCAGGTTCTGCACCTCTCTACAAAGACTGGTGGAGCCCAAGACATATGGGTCAGAACTTTCCAGCTCTACTAATAAGACTTCCTTCTCCTCCCCCAGTTTGCAGCAGAATCCAGGCCCATTAGCTCCCTTGCCGAGCCAGGATCTACAAGATCTTAGCTCTAGAACATTTAATTCTAAGGCATAAACTCTAAACACATGAATTAACAATGGCGGAGTGTCTTGCCCTTTCCAACAAGATAGGAGCAAGCACCACATATCTGGAGATTAGGCAAAAGAGAGTTCAGAACAAGTCTGACATAGGCTTGACCTGAAAATTTTATTTTTTTAATTAATGACCCATTGGTCCTTTTATTCGGGAACCACATATCTGATGCAAACCAGAATGGAAGTTGGCATCGTGAGATGCTGTAGCTTATTTACTTTTTAGCCAAGTCTCTGGTCCTCATGATTCTGAAGACCATTCCAAAAACATGTCCCCATCCCTTTCCACTTGTATGAGTCACAGAAACAATATGACCATGCAAACAAAGCCAACCTCTGATTCTGAGCGCGCGGAATGTGTGTTTCCTGATTGCAAAATGTGAGTTGGGGTGGATGCAAAGATGCCGCCTCACTTTTAACCCACTGCAGGCTCTTCCATGATCAGGCCTCAGTAGGAAGATAAAACTAGAGAGCCTTTGACTTTACTGGTATGTGTTTTTTCTTCCAAACATTCGTTTGATCCTCTCTCTTTTGGCAGGTGTGCTTACACCTTCCCACGCCAGAGCGTAATTTTCATTTCTTCCATAGGTACCATAAACGGTGTGGCACATGGGTTAGGCCAAGCCTCCCAAGCAGCTCCACACACTTCCCTCACAGCACTGGCCGTATCACCCTCTGCTCCATCTGGTAATTATCTGATTCATTTGATTTGTTTCCAGCCTTCCTACCAAGTAAAACAGCACCCAGGGCGGATGAACTGCTCTCGCTTCTTTTCTCACTGCCACGTTCCTTTTTAATACTGCAAATCAGGCATGCGGGGTGTTTAAAATGGCAGCCGTATATAAACAAACATGGCCGTCTCCCTGGGTATCCAAGAGTGCCGCCATGTTTATTCACCTACCGCAGCCATCTGTGCCTCCACCAGGGGCACCTAGAGCAGTGAAATGGTGACTCCCCAGGTGTGTGGGGAGGAAGGGCAGGTGTGGGCTGTCCTGCACCGTCTCTTACCAACGTGATGCCAATCGAGTCTTCCCAGCGAATGCTCCCCCCTTACCCCACCCCCTGCACACACACCCTGTCAAAAGAGATGGGGAGGGCCGAAGCAGGCCTGCTCTTAAGCCTCCGAGGGCTGACTGGACTCCAGAGGCTGTGTCTCAGCGCGGATACGCTTCAGCGGTGGAGCCCCCAGGGGAGCCAACTCTTCCGCCTCCGGGGTCGGCTCTTCGCAGGCCTTCTGGGGCTCCATGGGGCCTTCCGTCTCCAGTGCCTGCAGAAGAATGAAGATGTAACCATCTTGCCTCTTCCCCAGAAGGCTGCCACCTCTACTCTCCCCAAGGGCAACCTGGTGCCCTCTTTTACAGGGGACGGTCCTCTGAAGAGTTGTTCCAGCCCATCCCTATTCTTTTAAAGAGAAACAACCCAAAAAACTGTCTCTCATCAATAGTGTACAGGGCACAGTCTCCTGCTCTATGGTGAGATTGACCATATTCAACCACATTTCTTTTTAAATTATGCTATTTGTTTCTATATGTGCATCTGAAGGTCTAAAGTAGCATGTACTGTGTTTATGCAAACGTGTGTCCTCTGTTTCAGATTCTGCTGTCAACGTACAAATTACAGCAGGGCGAGGCTGCATGTGCAGGACAGCTAGCCATGCATGTGAATGGGGCCTCGCTGGGTAGCTTTAGCTATTTCACCATCCTTTGCTGAGCTGATCAAACAATAACATTGATCTTACATAGAACCTTTGTAATGATTAATTATTTGGCTATTGTTCCACTGAGGAAAAAACTGAGCTCAAAGGTGATGACAGCAACAATTAAATATAATTTCAGTCAATATATCCGTATCAGGATATTATCAAAAGTAGACTAGCATTTAAGCAAAATCAGTAAACAATTCAGTAAACAATCCAAACATAGTTGAATACCAGAGTGTAGCAATACTTCAAAAATATTTTATCACAACATTTGATATTTTTTATTTATTATATTTATATCCCACTTTTTTCCCTTTCAAGGAACTCAAGGCAGCTTAGAGAATTCTTCTCCTCTCAATCTCATTCCCCCAACAACAGCCCTGTGAGGTAGGTTAGGCTGAGAGGCTCTGACTGGCCCAAGGTCGCCCAGTGAGCTCCACGGCTGAGCAGGGACTAGACCCCCACAAGCCCTTGAAACATTTGCAATGAAACAAACCCTCCAAAAACAGCATATCTAATAAAGAGGAAATACCCTAAAGATGTAAAGATATTCTGTATTTTATTTGATGTTGTAAGCCGCCCCGAGGCCTTGGCAAGGGGCGGCATAGAAATGTTTTAATAAATAAATAATAAATAAATAAAGTGTATGTGTATAAATACAGAGGTGCCTAAGACTAATATATCCACAGCGCCCAACCTTACGAGGGCCGATCAAGTGAGAACCAGCCCCTCATGCAGCTCCAAGAGTTCCCAAAGCCCACCGCCCTCTTGGCGCCTCTTTCGGGTTTATGGGCTGCTTGACGGGAGGAGACACAAGTGGGGCTGCTCTGCCAGTCCCACTCGGCCCTGGATGCAAAAGACAGTCGTGCAAGTGGCAAGCGGAGCCGCTCTCCCAGCTCAGCACCTCACCTGCGTGTCTGCAGTCTTAGGAACCGGCTCTTCTTTGGTTAGCATGGGGGGCTCGTCTGTACCCTCCAGAAGGAGCACTCCAGAATCTGCAACCAGAAGGGGGAGACTGGAGTAGGCAAAGGAAAAAATCGGGGGGGGGGGCTATAAAGGCTGCAACCACAAGCTGCCACTGTCCTTCATGGCTTCCTGGTTGAACCTACCCCCTTCCTGCCCCAGCAAAGGGGGCTGCGAGTCCTCGGTCTTCAGCTCCCCTAATGGGGTGGGAGTCACAGTCTGGCTGCGGTCCGGGGTGGGTGTAGGGCTGGTGTCCCCCCCTTTCAGCAGAGAGGCCTCCGAAATTGAGCTCTGGTTGCTGTTCTCATCTGGGAGGAAAAATAAGAAATAGGACGAGGAGTGTCTTGGTGGCAAGAAACTGAAGACGGAGAACAGGAAGGACTTCTGTTGCCCTCACTGCCTGCATGGACAGCTCTCCACAAGCCAGGGCCACTTTGGACTTCGGCGCTCTGGCTGACAGAGAGATGGCTCTGAGAAGTGCAGGGCGGGAGGCAGGCCAGCCAGCGGCGGGCGAGGGCACCGAGAGGAAGCAGGGCTGTCAGCCCCTTTCAGCTTTCAAAACCAAGCGCTGGTCCTCTTTCTACCTCAGCCTTCTCCAACCTGGCACCCACATACTGGCCTGCAACTTCCCTCATGGCCAGGGTCCGTTAGCAGCATGCAGGAACACCTACACACACGATTCTCCTTTTAAAAAAAAAGACGTGGATCTCCACACAGGTCAGGTGGGTTCCCTTCTTGTCCCCTGGGAGGACAAATCGAGCCTCAACTCCATTGGCAAATATCTGGGTAGACAGAGGGGAGGGGCTTGGCCTGCTGGGAGGGCGGGGCCTGGGAAAGTCCCGCCTTCCTGACCTGCCACAGCCGTTTCTCCCCATTTCTGTCTCCCACCTTCCAAGATGTACCATTGAGGTCCAGCATGAGCAGAGCAGGGTTTCTCCGCAGGCTGGGTAACTGGGATCTCCTCTCTTTGGCCCTTTGCTGCTCGCCACTGCCCGCCAACCGCCTTTTCTCCTGTTAAGAGGAAGAGGAGGGAGAAGTAAGGAGAGGCAAACAGGGGGAAGGGGGAAGGCACAGATCTTAAGAGAAAGCACAGAGATGTCCCTCACCTCATCCCGGGGATCCATGATGGGTACCCACTTGTAGATTCGGAGCGAGGTATCCCCAACCGTCACCCACCGTTTTTCCCTGGAAAACAAACCAAAAACAAGACGCACAGCCTTTTTCATCTCGGGGATCTTCCCATTATCTCCCATTATCACGACCCATCCCAAATCTCCACAAAAATCCAAGGGACATGGACAAAATTCTAACCAGTTCCATCATTCCACTGAAGAATTCGAAGACATTTCATAATTACAACATTCAAACAGGTTTGCTTAAAAAAAAAAAAAAGTCAGCAGCCAAAAATAAAACACACTCTGGAAACAGCCACAAAAGAACAAGGAGAGAGGCAGGGAGTGACTGGCAACAGGAACTAAGGGCACGGACCTATTTATTTATTTCGTTTCTATATGTACCCCACAGACGATTTTCTCTGGGCAGTTTCCACAGGCCATAAGAACAGATGATAAAAGTGCAATAAAAATATAAAATCAGAAAGAAAAATATTCAAAAGTTGTGAACAGCAGAAAACAGATAAGAAAAACAGAACATAAACAGGAATAATCAAAAAAGTGCACAAACACCCGTTGATCCCCCTCAAGCCCATGGGTGGCCAAGGGGCATCTTAACCTAGCGCCCAAAAGATCAGATTCGGTACCAGCCAGGCCTCAGTGGGGAGGTTATTCCATCAATGGGGGGCCACCACCAAGAACGCCCCCCCCTTTACCACCCTCCACACTTTCCTCAGAATTGGCACTTGGAGGAAGGCCCCAGAGTTAAGCATAGTTAGTATCTAGGTAGACTGTCAATCTTATGCACTGTTAAGACAAAAAACCCCACAATTCCCAGCATTTCCCAGTCAGATATTTTCAGCCTAAACAGATACAGGATTGAAGCCTAAAGATGCAATCCTATACCTGCTCACTTTGAAGTAAGCTTCACCGAATGGAATTTACTTATGAGGAGACATGTATAGGATCATACTGTGAATCAGATCAATTACATTCATCAAGAGCCACGTTGTAGCTACTTCCCCCAAAAGGAGATGGACACATAAATAAACATGCTTTCCACAGTCCTGGAGCTACAGTGGAAAAAGCCCAGTTCCATTTTTCCAAACTGGTAAAGTACAAAGACAAAGAGATTGTGCTGTGGATCAGGAAGTCCTTGCATGAATTTTCCTTCTGCTAAGAACTCACAAGGCACCGAACTTCTGACGCACCAGGTCTCTCCATCCAGGCCCTGGGTACAACCCATCTCCTCCTGAACCCCCATGGTCCCCACCGTGAGGGTCTTTAGGGTGCGTGAGGCATGTAACTGCAGCACAAGGTGAAAGGTTCAAGTCCCCAGCCCACACTCAGGGCTCCCAGGGCTGAAGGGCCCCATGAAAAGGAGCCCTGGCCTCTGCCACCAAGTCCCACCACTGCGGCCAAGAAAGGCTACCAGTGAAGGAAGATCAGCTTGTCCTCAGCCCATTCACAATTCTCTACTTTAATCCACTCAAGATCCCTTCCCTTGAGTGTCTTTCTATTTAACAGCCTCACAGAGAGACCGCATCTCTCCTAAATATCTGTCTATTTTTATTGATCAATTGAGATGAGCCACCTTGAGGAGGTACTGTTTGTCTGAAAAGCACGGTAGGCATGATTTATTTAAATAAATCCTCTGCAAAGACAATTAGGCTAGCATATGAAAAGCAACCATATGAATTGCAAGGAGAGAGACAGATCAAGCACCCTAGACAAGAACCTATTTTTCTTTTTCTTTCTTCCTTCCTTCCTTCCTTCCTTTCGGCTTGGTTTGGCTCTCTTTCTTTCTCTGTTCTGTTTTTCCCCCAATGGTTTAAAAGTGAATGGAGGTAGAAATCAGTTAGGGGCACCTGGAATCCTGCTGCCCTGGGCAGAGACTTGGGTTCTGTCTCACCTCTTGGGTTCTGCCAGCCCTTCTGGTGGCCAGATAGTTAAGGCAACAGGAACTGCCAGATCATGTAGCACAACGTCCCCCAACATATGGATCCACTGAAATATAACCCCGGACAGGTGGCTCTTGTGGCCCTCAGTGGCAAGGGGAGAAACTTGAAAAAGAAGCCGTTTTGCAAAGACCCCTTCCAGAAAAGTAAGCAGCACGGAAGCATCTTGCTGGCAAATCTAGGATCAGGTCATCCTGCACCATCTCTTCCAATGGGCAGAATAGGCACAAAGTCATAAAAATACCTGGTACAATTCAGTGTTTCCCATGCCAAGCAGCAACTGGAAAATGTTCACAAAACCACCTGAAATGCTTCATTGAATCCTTGGCATGGGGACTGCAAAACCAGCAATCCCAAAATGTAGCCAGCCAGCCCCCCATGAGATGAAGCTGGAGTACTGCCCAGAAGCAAAAGTCACCCCCCCACACCCCACCACTGCATAACCTGCACTGCAGCCCCCCCGTAATCCTTCTCAAAATTGGTCGGTTTGCATATGGCAAACATGTCGCATTTCTGCAAAAGTTCCTCCAGCCGCCACTAACGGACCGTCCCCCCAGCCTGGCCTCACCATCTGCGGACATGTTCAATAGCTGCCATCACTTTCTTGATGTCATCTTTTGCCCGGCTCCTCGTCTCAGCTCGAACGGCACGTCCCGACATCAGGAAACAAGTTTGGAGATTTGCGTCGTGCTGAGAGGCGGCTGGAGATGAAAATTCAGAGCTGTCTACCTCAGCTGCTACTTTTCACTTATGATCTCTTGATCTATTAATCCCATGTCTTTCTTTGCTCTCTCTTTTCGTACCTGTTTTGCTACCCCCCTGCTATCTTTTGCTCTCTGCAGTGATCACAACATTAGAAATATATGTGTCACTCTGTCATCCTTCCATCCCTCCAGCGGTCCACCCATGCCTGCCTCTCCATCAAACTGTCGTCTTCCGTCAATTTGTTTCAATATGCCTCCTCTCTCTTTCTTTCTGTCTTTATCTTAGTCCTCGTCTGCTCATCATTTTCCCTGTTGGGTCTCTACTGTTTTTTTTCTACTTCCTTCTCTTTGTCTTCTTTTCCTGTCCTCTGTTTGCCAAAAAGGGGAGAGGGAGGGAAAAAAAGGAGAGAAAGGACGGAAAAAAGGCGGTTCACCATCGGAAGAAAATAATATACTTCTTTCAGGGATTTTTTAATAAAGATTTGCAACTAAAGGAGCGCCCTCTAGTGACTAGGAGAACAGGAAAAATCTACACTCTGAGAACAAGACTGCATCCTTTTGAGAAATGACGGATGGACAGGTTTGCAGGTAGAAATGCAGGGAAGAAATGAGGAAGGGAAGGCTCAAACAATCCAAAATTCAGAGCAGTTTATTAATTTCACAGAGCCCTTTGGGGGAAGACTAGGAAAGAAAGGGTGATTTTTTGCAACGCTGCAGGTTTTAAAGGGAAAAGTCACAGTGAGGTGCCTTACCTTTCTTAGGATGGGCTAAAATGGCCCCCAAATAGGGAACAATCTTTCAAGTTCTACAGAATTCTTCTTGAGACTGGATGCTAAGAGTTAAAAAGCTGGATGTGACATTAGCGCCCCAAAACCTGCAGTCTTAAAATGGAATTAAACGGCACTTCCAGTCAATACTACCTTGGGATTAAGTCCCGCTGGACTCAATGCTACTGACTTCTGAGGGAATGCCATAGGACATTTATTAACTTAGGGCAGAATCCTATGTATATTTAGACAGAAAAAGGTCCAATAATTCCCAGTTGGAACTATGCTGGTTGGGGCACACTGGGAATTGTATGACTTCTTTTCTAAGCATGCATAGGATTGCACCTTTAGTCTCTGTTATCTGCAAAACAGATCTGAGGTTTCTGGGACAAAAGAAAAAACTAGTGTCCCCAGAGGTTTAAATCCATACACACACACCTACTCAAAACTGTCTGCGGTACTGATGGGCTCATACAGGTCCCTTGTGAGGCAGACAGCAGGAAAAAGGAATATAGTATTCTTTATAATAGCAAAATAAAAAGCTGGCATGGGTAGTATTACCTAGCATTACCGCAGATGGCATGTGACCCTTAAAAGCTTCTGTCTTAAGGTCAGATGGCAGAAAATCATCTTCATCCAGTTGTAAAATCCTTCTAGTTGTATTAATTTGGAATTCTCAGAAACATACAACAATCAAAGCATCAATACCTGTACAAGGATGAACAAAATCGGTTTAAATTTCCCCCACCCTGACCCCTTGTAGAGGTTTTGTGCCTTAACAGCTGTGTGACAGGCAGAAATTCAACAGGGTCGCCCTCATCTACCAGTTCTATGCCAAGAGGACCTGCATCTGTTGAATATCTGCCTGCTGCACGACTATGGTAGCTCTCGGCTTGGATGGCAACTGGAAAGAAACGCCGGAAGACTACGGCAGCGTTGCTAACCAGAGAAACGCACTCTGCGCATGATCGGCAGAACAGCGGCGGGCACCCGCGGCAGCTCGGAGGTGGCGGGGCAGTCCTCGTTTCGGCCGCGGCCTTTTCCCGCCCCCACGCCCCGCCCCCACTTCCCGAGGCCTGCGAGGTGGCCCCGAGTAATCTGCCAAAGCAGCTTTGCGAGGATTGGAGCCGGGCGCGCAGCCCGCGCCCCCCGTGGCCGCGCTCGGCTCCCGGGGGTGAGTCAGCGGCGTTACGTGGCTCCCCGTCGCCTCACCGTGCGCGGCGGGAGCGGTGAGTCAGGAGTCGGGAGGCCCACGTGCTCCGGGGCGCGGGGGATTTGGATTAGGGGAGGGCGGCGCACCCGGCCTGGGTGGGGGGCGTTAATGCTGCGCGGCGCCCGCCCGAAAATCTTGTTGAGCTGCGGGGGTGGGGGCGGCCCTGCCCCACTTCTCAAGTCGCCACCGTGCCTAGACACGAACGCAACACGTGTTGAAGAGCGGCTCAGTCTTCACGTTCCTAATGCGCTTTGCGCGCTCCAAGCTCCGCCCACGGATGGGCGGGTTTCGGGCGTGGGATTATTACGGAATTCCTGTCTTCCTTGGGTCAAAACATGTGTTGGGGGTGAGGATGCTATGGAGCTATTGGGTTGTGCTGGTTTTTTAGCATTTTATCTGTGATATTTTTACATGCACCCATCAGTGTTAAACCTTAAATAACCAGGAAAGGTGTCTGTACATAGAAAAGGATTTCCTTGCAGAACAGATACAGGTAGCTTGATGAGCTTCCGTTTGCTGAATGGTGTCCATGCTGAGCAGGAAACGGGGTTGACCTTGGCCTGTGGGTTTTTCCTTCCATTGCCACAAGCCAGAGGGTGTCCAGCGGTTTTTGCAGCTCTGAGGATCGCACGTGGGCTGGGGTGGGTGTCCCAAGAGATACACCCATCTTTCCTCCTGATTGCTCAGGTGAGGGAAGAGCCAGTGTGGCACCAGGAGGGGAGAGGATACTCAAGTAGCTTTTGTGGAGCAGGGAGGTAAGAGCAGACCAAAGCGGGGTAAATTCCCTGGCTTTGGCCAGCAGAGAGGGGAGAAGGCGAAGTGGCTGCCAGGGAGGTTCATTGTCAACAACGGGGGATGCATCAAGGGCCAAGAAGACGCCATGGTGGGTGCATTGCCTTTTTCTGGACTAGTGATGGACAGAGCCAGTCCTGGGGCAGCTGCGGCATGAAGAGGCCAGGCTCATTCGCAGCCCTGCCAGATCACAACTCTGCCAGGCCCCTCCACTCCAGCAGCCCAGTAAGGATCAGGTATGAAAGCTGAGGCTCCGCTGGAAAGGACAGAAGGGGAAACTTGGAGTGGGAAGCTTTTCCTGAGCTCCTTGCATCTTGAGTGCCAGGCCAGGTGGATTGGGACCAAGGAGGGCCAGTCACTTACTCTCAGCCTAAGCTTCCCAGCAGGGTTGTTGTGCAGATAAAAATGGAGTTATGCCATCCCTGGTCACCTAGGAGTCCTCGAGGAGGAAAAAAAAGTTGCCATTTAAATGCAATGTGATGATGATGATGATGATGATGATGATATCCTAGAGGAGAACATGGCAGGCTGCAGCTCTGAATTGTGCCACATGTGGTGGATATTCTGCAGTATTTTGTTACAGGCCCTACCCGTTATTTCCAGTGACATTGCACCGTTGCACATCTAAACAAAAGGCAGATTGAGCAAAGAAAAGGGGAATAGTATTTGACGGGTTGTTCCCGTCTAAGCCCTGGCTTAAAGATAACCAGCTGGAGAAAGAGCAGGGACCTTGAGGTTTTCCATCCACAAGCACGTAGGACACAATTTTCCTTGCTGTGATGAGACATTTCTGTGCAGATTGCAAAAGATTTATTGCAATAACTCTGTGATAAATTAGCACATGCAAATGCATACACTCACCCTTTGACACGTCTTTGGTGGTAAGTCCCTACCACTTATCTACCCGGGTCACAAAGTGAACGACCCCTCACATCCTGAAAGTCAGTGCTGTAAAAGTGTTCCAAGCAGTCCTCTTTAGTGCACAGAGCAGCTACTGGAGATAATGGGAACTGTAATACAACACATTTGGAGGGTGCCAGGTTGAGGAGGGGTCAGTTTGCAAAGATGGGGAAAATTCAGGCTCGTGGGTTCTACTTTTTTTTTCTTTTTTTTTTTTTAGGAGAACAGAGAGGCCTGCCAGAGGCCTAAAACAGTAGCTTGGTTGGATGGATATCCACTAAGAATGACCGAACAGAGTGACCCTGAGCATGTGCCCAAAAATTGGTGTTCAGTACCAGGACCAGCATCACATGTCCTTCCACACAAAATTCCCATTTTTCCCCTCCTTTTTCAGCAACCTCAGCTGCAGGGTGAGGGAAGTTTTAGTGCTAATTCTTTTCAGGAAGTCAGAAACGCCTGCCAAACTGCTAGAAATCACCCTGAGAACTTTCAGGAGATCCAATCTACCTTCTGCCCACCCTGGTTTGAGGCATTTGGCTGAAATGGGGAGACCAAGGTTGGAATCCTTGCTTGTTTCATCAGCATATGGCTGCCTTTCTCCAGACCGTCCCCCCTTGCAAGCCTGCTTTATTTATGAGTTGAGGATTGAATATGTATCCTGCGTAGCTTCAGCACACAGGTGCAGGGCAGCTAAGAACAGAAGATAAAAGCAGTAGAAATCAATCCATGGCTGTTTACTCCTGTTTTGTCTGTTGGGTGCTGCGTTGTATTTTTAACCATTTGAAAGTCAGTCTTTTCATTACTGTCATCCACCCAGAGAACATTAGTTGCTGAAAGAATTAATAACAGAATCACATCTACAATAAAAATAGATCAATAAAAATCCTAGAAAAAGTTCAAACAGCAGAAAACAAAGCAAAAAGCCAGCATACCTCAGCCTGGTATCCTCCAGAGGAATTGGAATGCAATGCCCATCTTCCTACAATGATGGATGATGGGAGTTGTAGTCCAACACAGCTAAAAGGCTACAATAAAAATGTGCCCAGGTGTTTAAGGGCCCTTAGACACAAAAGACTCTTCTCATGAGCAAGTAGGTGGGGGCATCAGCTGCTCTTCCTCCCCAGCACCACCACTGCTTAGGCCAGGGAAGAGGCAGGACAGCAAGCGGGTTCCAGCATCCACGGCCGGCCCATCCTGGGCACGCATGACGCCATAGAGCCAAAGGGCAGCAAATCTCAGCACGCCCCAGCCCGGAGGCTCCACTGCCACTCCCAGCACATGCCCCCCACAGCCCTGCCAGCAACTCGCCTGCCCCGGTGCTTGCCGGAGCGAGAAAGCGGTTCAGAGCAGCCAACAGCTCTCCGTTGCTGGGGGTCTCCCCATGGCCCACCCCTCGTGAGACACTGGCCTTGTGCCGAGACCCTGCGAGAGCCCAGAGGGAGGCGAGCGGGCCTCCCTCCCTCCCTCCCATCACCAGCCCCAGCTCGAGAGTCCCCATGAGGCAGCAAGGGGAAGGCGATGGGGCCCCAGGGCTGGACTGGCAGAGGCAGGGAGGAGAGCGAGTCCAAGTCCAAGCTCTTTGGCTTCGGTCTGCGGGAGAGCTCATGCCAGGCTTGCCAAGGGGGCAGAGGAGGAGCTACCCCAAAGGGGCTGGGGGGGCTGCTGGGGAGGGGTGGGACCTCTGGAGAGGTCCAACCATGCCTACACTTGATGCCATCCCTGGCCACGAACAAACAAGAAAGGGTGACTAAAAACCTTCAACAGTAGCATAACAGTTCTGGGGAAAATTTTAAAAGTCAAAAAACCAACAATGGACATGCCAAGCGGGTTTCCCTGGGATTGGTGTTTCCGGGGTGGGGCATCCCAGGGACTGCCAGGAGAGGCGAGGTTGGCACAGTCTTCCCCCATACAGAGAGGCCTTTGGTGCACCCCTTGCCGGAGGGGTTTTGGAATGGTTAGGTGCTGTGTGTATATGCATTGCTGGGTTTTCAACGGCACTCTACAATTATTTTTGCTGGTGTTTTATTTCATGGTTGCTCCTTTTGGCCATCTCAAGAACTATTTTTGGGAACAGCCACCCAGATGAAATACAGGTTGTGAGATGCTGGGCAGCAGAAATTGCCACCGCCGTGCCCCGGGGCTCCATCCAACCTCGGATCGTGCCCTTAACTTGTAACAGACATACATGGGTGTTATTGGCTTCCTCATCATTCAGACTGTTACCCAGCAATCAGTACTGTTAGTAGTTTTGCCTTCAGAAGAAAAAAAAAGATTTATTTTATACAATAAAGCAGTTACTAGCTTTAAATTATAGCATGAGAATTTCAACACAGTAGCAGGTAAGTTAAATGAGTTTTTCCATATGTTACTAATATCTTCATTTGTATATGGAACTTGGTGAAAAAATAGATTTCTGGATTACTAGAAGTCTTTAAAGTCTCCCTCCTAGTGTGCATGTGTGTGTGTTCTTCCCCCCTGCATGGGTGTCTGTTATCATTTTTGTTGATGGAAAATGTTAGAGGTCTCATCCCTTCTGAAATTTTTATAGATTTATGAGGGGATCTCCTTTTCTTACAGGCTGCCTGCTGACAGTAGAGGGGCTGGTTATCTCTTCTCCTTTGGCCACATCTGAAGCTAAACATTCCCATAGTCTGACATTTGTATAAAGTCCAAAAGGGGAAAAACCCCTTCCTGCAGCCAACTTCCGCAAGGACAACAGCCAGCAACATTTTGGAACACTAAACGCCACTTTTATCTCAGAAGATGGGTAAAGTTCTGCCAAAGACCCCAACTCCTCATTGCAACGTTTCCAGCCGGCGGTGCTGTCAGATTCAGACCCTGGCCATGGATTGTGGTCCAGGGACCCGCAAAGGACCACCCAGAGAGCCGCAGGCATCAGAAGCAGGCTCCCTGTTATGAGTCAGCTGTGATTTAGGAGGAATTAACAGATTCCTCCTTGGCCATGAAGCTCAGCATGTGACTTTGGGTGAGCTATGCTGTCTCAGCCTGACTACCTCACAGGGTTGTTGTGAAGAGGAAGACCATGTAAGCTCCCTTGAATGCCTTGCAAGAGGAAAAAGGTGAAAGGTAAGCATAATAATACAATTTTAAAATCGCACATGCTCAGAGTATTTTCTTCATCAGGAATAACAAAGTGAAGCACAAAATGGCCATTGGGAGCAAGGAGATCTGTTAGCTGCGTGTTTCACAACAGAAGAAAATGTGCATGTCATCCAAGTGGATCCCCATAACACCAGTAATAGATAATACCTGGCACAACCCCAGTCATATACCAGTACACTTTGGCTACTGGAACACACCAAATAATTTCAGAAGAAGATCACCATTTGCTTGCTACAGTGCAGCAAAGCCTTTGACTGTGTGGATCCTGGGAAGCTGTGGGCAGCCCTGAAAGAAAGGGGGGGGGGGTGTCCCAGCGCTTGATCATCCTGATGTAGAACCCATTTTGTGGACAAGAGGCTGCTGTCAGGACAGACGATGTGTACAGAATGAAGAGACGGGGAAATAAAATACCTCTTTGTCCAACACCTTTGCCTATGGATACCGCCCATGCCGTTGAGAGGATGCAAGAGGCCTCACCCCTCTCCAAATTCATCTCCCTTATTGCTTTGTGTATCTAGGATATTATATGGGGGGATTGCTTGGTCCACATCAAAGTAGGTTATGCAAAATCAACCTGGATTGCTTCTACTGGACATTAACCCTTAAATGGGGTCTCCCCACCACTGAAAGTTAAAACCCTCAGGGTATCAATTTCTACAGGGAATTAGCTGATAGTAACTTGGAATAGAGTTCTGTGTGAGTCTATATATGCTACCACATGGGGTGTGTGCATTCTCATTAGTGCCATACCTGTTTCCACCCAATCCCTTTAACTCCCACCCTCCCCAAAAAGGGATTCTGTCTTAGGGATCGGATGGATAGCCCCCATCATATGTATCTTAAAATGTGCATAGGCGTTCATGGGCCAGCATGAGAAGTTCAGAATAGTGGATCCAATCAGCTTTTTTGTTTTAACTGAAGGCATTCCTTTCTAACACAGATCTTTCAGGGTTTATTATTGTATACTACTTAGGTTGCTTTTCCCCCCACCTCATGGCCTGATTTACTGTAAAGGTATGCAGTGATTGATTTTATGAACTTTTTAAAATCTATGTTATGAGGATGTTTGTAGCCACCTTAGATGTTGCCTGGATATTGCATATTTTGCATATCAGAGCTTCAACTCAGGTGCTTTTCTGCAGAAGGAAGTGCAAAATATTAATCAAAGGGTGTCCTTGACTTTCAAGCCCAGAGAAAACTTTTCAGTGGAGTTTACTTTCAAAGAGAAACGTGCAGAATCAGGCTTGCCTGATTCAGTACCATTGTGCTCAGAAGGTTATGTTGGACTCTGACCTCAGCAAGCATGGCCAATGGTCAGAGGTTATGGGAGTTGTAGTCACACAACATATGAAAGGCCAGAGGTTTTCCAGCACTGACTCAAACCTTTTGTACTGAACAGTTAGCAATGCATCCAACTTCGACGGCTTACAGACATATTTTGATTGTATTAACCTCCCAAGGTGTCAGGTGAACTGCTCTGGATAAGGTCCAAAATGAGTGCAGAGTTTTTGGTGACACAAGATTCTTCAGCAGTTACCTGATACATCCAGAAGGAGAAAAAGGAAGAAGTCCTACAAGTCTTAACGATAAACTCCCTTAAAGTGGCACAAGGTTTTGCAGTTACGGAGCTCGTGCTCTTGATGTTTGCGGGCTTCTTTACACAAACCCTTTTGTTCCGTTTTTAAAGCACCACAAGTCTTCGGTTTTGTTTTGTTTTTCTTATTTCTTCAATGTTACTGTTGGGGTTGTTTTTGTGGGCCTGCCGTTTTGTACGTGCAGCTTTCCCGTGGTTTTCATACTCCGATCGCTTGGCTGGACGCGGTGAAAACGCTCCAGTTTAGAAGAGCCGGACGGAAATGTATCAAATAAAGTCCCGCAAAAGTGAGCGGCCTTCTCCCCGTCTCCTCCCCGCACACCCATTCCGGCCCGGCCGGCCCGTCACGCCCTCTTGCCGCGGGCAAGTGCAGCCATTCATAACGCGGGGGACCCGCGGGGGGAGAGCGGCCGAGCCGAGCCCCCGGCGGCTGATCCTCCGCCCCCTCCGGGCTGAGCTGCCGAGAGGGGGATAAGCCGACTCCTTTCCGGGAACGAGGCCGACCGGCCGGCTCGCCGGCGCGGGGTGATCTCAGCCGAGTGGAATTCGCGGGTCGTTCGCGATCCCGGGAGAGGAGGAGCAGGAGGAGGCGGTGGGGCAGAGGGACGCCGGGGAGTGGGGGGAGGAGAAAAGGGGATTGGGAGGGGTGGGGGGGCAGAGCAGATCTCCTCTATAAAAGCCGAGCCTGCGCGGCGCACGCAACAAGTGGCTGCACTCCGAGAAAGCGGCGGCAGCAGGAGTAGCAACAGCGAAAGGCGCAGCGCGATGGAGGTGCTCTCAGGTAGGGCGAGGAATTGGGGTGCCCGCTCGGGGGGCAGCGAGGCCCTCCAAAGGCGGGACGGATGCGTCGCTCCTGTGCGTAATTCCAGCGAGTTTCCGAGGGGGCGAGGCAGTCTGGGGAAGGGGGCGCTCTTCTCGGAGCGGGCCTGGCGCTTCTGCAAGTGCGAAGCGGCGCCCCGGAGCAGCCAAGGTGGCGTGCGAGCGAGCAGGCGTTTCTCTGCCCCGAGTTGCTGCGGCTTCTCTTTGCTGGGGAAGTTTCTGACTGAAAAGTTAGAAGGGGGGGGGTGGAGAGACGCCGCGGCTTCCTCACCCCCCAGCCTGGCGCTCTCCAGGGTGGGGAGGGTGGCATGGATTGCTGGAGAATGGGAGTTGTAGTTCATCAGTGCAGCACTGCCCCACACTTGGAGGGCGCTAGGCTAGGCTTAGGGGAAAGCTGCAGTCTGGGATTGTTCGCGTTTTATTCTCCCGCTGTTGTGCGTCTTAACTGGAGCTAGAAACTGGAGACGTGGACAGGTGAGGCTGCGTTATTACCTCGTTTCACGAAAAGTTCTCTGGTTTTCAGTTTAATACTTTTCGATCAGGGGGCCAGTTTCCAAGAGGACTCGGGCCGTGGAGCGGGGAGGAGAGAGCCGCTTTGGGATGGAAGCCGTCCTGCATGTGGCTAGACGAGGAAGGGGGTTTGGCCGCTTCCGTGGGGCTGCCGTCTCTTGGAACAGCGCAGTAGAAATTCCAATTTCGTGAGGGTTTTCCTTGTTTAATGCAAGGCTCCCACGCCCCTGCCAGCTGGATCATGGGCAGAGATTCAACCGGTAGAGCTATCCCAGCATTAGGGCTCTGCTGGGGAAGGGAAACGTGCTGTATAACTTCCTCTCCTGTACTTGCTAAAACTTGACTAGTGTCTCCCAGCAATACCCCTGCGTAAGGTAGCGAAAGGTTTTGTCACTTGGTTGATTCTGCCTCATCCTATATGCAACCGTCTGCAAATGTATATCCATCGCTGATAAAAGAAAGCAACAGAGAACTTGCAAAAGAATCAGCTGGGCTCATTACTCCTCTGAGCAATGAACACAAAGCCCCCTCCACCCCCCCCACCCCCCACACACGAGTGAATGAATCTTAACTAGCATTGCAGGTCACACATTGAGGCTATGAATTGAAAAGTCATATTCAGAATCCCACCTCTATGGGCATTAATATATTGGATGACCTAGAACAATTTACTCCTTTAGCATCTGTCTCCAGGCTGCAGCAGGGGCAGAATTCTGGCGGGTTTGCAGTCAGATAATGTCGATATAATGTACAGGAAAACACTTTGAACAGCTAGAAATGCTCTATAAATTAAAGCTGAACCAAACTAAGTGTAACTGAAATAATTACATTTACTTTTTCCAGTGCTGAATTTTACAGTTGACACACAGAAGGCAGAAAACTTTACCTCGTACTGTGATGCTATGTTATAATAAATGCTTGGTTGTTCAAAGTAATTATTATTCCCCCCCCCCGCATTTTTTACATGAAATGGTCAAACCCTGATCTCCCATTCTGCCGGGATCATAGGAGGAATTCTATCCTGTTCATTTTGTTGTAGCTACGTTTCATCAAGTCATGGCCTGCCCTATCAATAAGAACTCGTTGTAGTATGTTTTTATTTAAATAAAAAATTTCAACCTAAAAAAATTTCAACCTATCAATAAGAACTCTCCGAAATATCCTTTCCTTGCCATTCATGCTCAGCGCTTGTAAACTCAATGCTGCGGCTTCCCCTATGGAATTGAGCCGCCTCGGAGATGGTCTTTCGCTTCTTTTGCCTTCAGCTTTCCCTGGCATGATTGTCTTCTCCAGCCACCCCTGCCTTCTCATGATGCGAACAAAGTATAAAACATGCTCATTAGGACTAATATAACCTAATTATATTATTATATTATAATCATAATTATATAATTGTATTCTTGTATTATATTTTATGTTGTGAGCCGCCCCGAGGCTTCGGCGAATGGGGCGGCATAGAAATGTTTTAATAATAAATAAATATAACCTGCATTAAGTGAACTTAAATGTGTGCACTGAGGGTGTGAGGTTGCCAGTATTTTTAACAGTATGTTGCTCCTGTGCAGTTAACAGTAGACCCACTGCAGACGGTAGGAGGTGGGCATGCCAGTGTATCTATGCTACGAGAGGCCTGGTCCGCTGACTTCTGTAGGCCAAACTGTTGTTCAAGGCACAAGAGCAGACTAGGCAGCATTCTGGTCAGTTGGCAACTTTCTAAGGAGGTAGCTGTGTGGAACTGCAGCATGTAAAATCCAGAGGAAGCAACACAAACAACACAAAGGCTTCCGACAGCCTTCCTTAAACTTCCCCTGTCCAGATGGCTTAAATTCCGACTCCTATTAGCACCAGCCAGCATGGCCACTAGTCAGGCATGCTGGGAGTTGTAGTCCAAATCATGCAAGTCACTGTGGCCTCTTTGTAAAAATCTAATAAAGAAATAAAATGTTTGGAGGGCGCTACATGGGATAAGACTGACTGACTGATCAGGAGCATGCAGTAAAAGGGCTTGTGTTAGTGGCTGTCAGGCAAAGACTGCCGCCTACCTTGCAGGATTTTGGCAGCGATGCCACGGCACTGCAAAACTTCTAGGGAGGAGAAGAGCCAAGAGTCTGGCAGGTGCCCAGCACTCTCTTCTATCTCTTTTGTAGCTGGTTGCAGGGATCAAATTCAGGACCAGGATTCAGGGCTTACAGGGCCCTGGTTCAGCTTAGTGAACGGGTTGTGCAAACCTGTACACCTTGCATGATGGGAAATGGAAGCTCGTAAAACTTGGGTAAACAAAATTTGTGATGTTTCCAGGTGGAGGCACCAAAGCAGTGCAAGGATGAGCAGGAGGAGAAGGCCAGTGCCTTGAATTTTAAGTTTAAGCCACTGGAAACGAGTCCAGGTACTGCAAGGATGGGTCTGTGGGGGCAAGAATCCTTTTTTGGTGCTGTCACACCAAATAAGCCAACAGAGACCCTCACTGGCTGACCTGCCAATCTTACGCTCACTTGTGAACCTTCAGAAAGCAACCTGAGAGAACACACTTTTTAAAAATGTATTTAAAATACACGTATTATCAGCATGTATTTTACCTTTCTTTGGTCAACTGAAAGATCACACAGATTGTAAAAGCTCCTAAGGTCTCCTGACCTTCTCATCAGGATTATTCTGTCTGATGGAAAGATTTGGATACCTTGAAATCTTGTGTGTTTTTAACTTTTTAATCTCACTGAAGGGAGGTGTTTCGCTAATACAAATGTTGGTTACAAATGCTTGTTCTGGGGGGAAGGTTATATAACTGGGAGTTCTTAAAATGCCTCAAGCAACCAGGTTTGTATATGGACTGATGTGAGAGATATTTAATTCAGATAACTTGAGAATTCACATTCAAGGGTTGAATGGAGATCATCATTGAACTGCCAGCTGTTGTTGAAACATAGGTTATTGTGTTGTCTGAACCCAGCCATGCTAACAAACCATTGTTTACCTCTAACAACCCACAGTTTGCAACTCTGTAGCAAACCATGGTTAACATGGCTGGGCTCAGATCACACAATTGCCTGCAGTTTAATGACAACCCACACATGATCCATACTCAACCCTGGAGTGTGGGCTACAGTGTTGTCTGAACCCAACCTCCCTCTTCTGTGCAATTACTGGGGTGCAGAAGCCTGCCTTTTGTAGCATCCAGCCATCCTGTGCAAGAGCTTCTGGTCTGCTGCCTTGCTCTGTCTACTGCTGTTCCTCCTTTTGCTCACCTCTCCATACCTGATGGCAGAGAGTTAAGCCTGTTCTACCACCCCTTTCTCTCTGCACCCTCTCTGGCCATTCCAGCTCCTCAGTTGCAAACCTTCAGCAATATTCTCTTCCCTCTCCTCCACTAACCCCACCCCCATGGAAGCAACAAATAAAAGCTTGCCTGTATACCTGCTCTCCACTCCTGCACCTGAGGCCAGAGTTAATGATTGACTGGGGCTGTCTCAGAAGGGGACGTGAAGTAAGTTCTTCCACATACAGATTAGGGTGCCGACTGGGGTCATGGAGCACATACTTTACCTTCAAAGCACCCAGCTTCAATTCTGGGCATATCCTGTTAAAGTAAGGATGGGCCACTTGTAGGGCCAAACATCTGGAGGGCTACAACTCCCATCAGCCCCAGCTGGCACGGCCAATGGTAAGGAATGAGAGAAGCTGTGGGGCAAAACCTCTGGAGGGCTGCAAGTTGCTCACCCTTCAACTAATGTGCAGAAGAGTTCTTCTGTGGCATGAAGACCAAAAGTTTATCAGTCCAGTTCAGCCTTCCGTTTTCTGGAGCAGCCAGCCAAATATCTTCAGGAAGTCCACAAGCAGGCTGCAAAGGAAGTGGCCTGCCCTGTTTGTTTGTTTGTTATATTTATATCCTGCTTTTTTCTTACACTGAACTCAGAGCGGGTTACAGCATTCCACTTCTGCTGCTTTTGATCGTATCCTCACAACAACACCCCTGTGAGGTAGGTTGGGCTGTAACTGGCCCAGCGACACCCAGTTGGCTCCATGGCTGAACAGGGATCAGAACCCAGCTCGCTTGAGTCTCAGTCCCATGCTCTTAACCACTACACCACACTGTCCTCTGCCGCAGCATTTATCACCCCAAACATGCAAGCTCTGTGGATACCATGGCTGCAAACTGACAGGTCCTGGAGTCCTCAGTCTGGTCTGTCCCAAGCTGGCAGCCAAACAATTTCACTGCAAGATCCTGGGTTCTTGCATTTTTAGGACATTCATAGTCACCATGGATAGTATACATGGATAGTATTCTGAATAGCCAAAAGTGCCTGGTCCTGCCTAATCTGGGAAGCTAAGCAGGGTTGGGTCTGGCTGAAATCTGGAGGGGTGACTTAAAAGGTTGCGAACTGCCCAGAGAGCTTCAGCTACAGGGCCATATTTGCCCTCCCGCCCCTTGAGATCGGCAGCAGAGGCTCTCCTCCGTGAGAGAGATCAGGAAGCAAAGTACCTGGAGGAGGGCTTTCTCTGCAGTGGCGCCCCATCTGTGGAATGCGCTCCCCAGAGAGGTCCGTCTGGCGCCGTCATTTGTTTTTCGGCACCAGGCCAAGAATGCTTAATATTTACAGGTTTTAATTGTGCAGCCAGTGTGTTTCCGGGTTTTAATTGTAATTATTATTGTTTTGTATTTATTTTTGTGAGCCGTCCCGAGGCTATGTAGCAAGGGGACGGCATATAAAAACTTTAAATAAAAATAATACAGGGAAGAATAGAAAGGTAAGATGATGATGATAGTATAGTGACAGCCTCCAACTTGGATGGCTTTGGGAGGCAGAGGGAGACTGGATTAAGCGAGTCCATGGCGGATGTGGCAGTGTTCCTCTGTACACCAGAGGCAGGGGAGCATGGGCAGAGTTTTCATGTCCTGTTGTACTCGTGTCCTGTGTGTGGGTATCATGCAGGCATCTCATTGGCCACTGTGCAAACAGTGCTAGACCAGGAAGGCCTTGGCTCTGATCCGGCAGGGCTCCTCTTGCATCCTGGTTTCTGGAAGGGTAATTGCCGGGCTCATCATGCCACAGCCGCTTCTGGCACCTTGTGGCATAAGTTTTTGAGGATCAGAGTCAGCTTCACTGAGAGCCTCAGGTTACTGTAATGCAGACAGAGGTGAGGGGAAACTGAAGAGTAATTTACCTGCAGGTGAGAACTGCGTGATTAAAAGTCTCAGGCACAAAGTGATTGTTGCTGATAATATAAACATCCTGGCACTAGGTAACCCACTGAAACCTGCATACCATGGTGGAAAAAATGCTTTATCCTTTTTCAAAGCTCTGATGAAAGAACCAGACCTTGTGATGAATTGTAACTCACACGGCTCTTTTTCTAAACTGCTTTTAATTGTTTCATAAAGGCCACTTTAAGGTTAGTGAGAAAGAGCCTAGAAGGCCAAAGTGTTCTCCCAGTGTGTTGTCCATTTCTTATATTTTCTTGTTATATGTATTAATTTTCCACATACAAAGTTACACCAAGTTCAAATCTAGTTAAATCTAGATTAAGGGTAATTTTCCCTAGCTTTGTTTTACAGGCAATGGAATCTGCTGGCTGCATGTAGATTTTCCTTGATTCTTCATAATAGGTCATTTAATTTTGGCTGCAATCCTATAGCTACTTACATGGAAGCAAGTCCCATTAAATTAAATGGGATTTACTTCTGGGTAGACATGCATAGGATCGCACCATTACATCTCCCATAATCTGAGGACAGGCTTTGGTGGATGTAGCTGTTTATGACACTGATTAGTACATGAAATTAAATCATGTTATATAAAAATCAAGTACTTCAACATGGCCTTCAGCTAGTTTTGCCACTGTCAGATGTTGTCCGTGTATTCTTTTCCAGGAATACCAAGTCCCAGTATTGTGCGTGAGAGAGTACTTTTCTTTCCCTCTGTGGCGGTCTCCATACCGTTCACTGTTTTTATAAGCCTCTCTTCTGCCTCCATCCCTCATCAGTTGTTTCTTTGTCCTAAGTGAAACAGCCTGAAACCCTGCAGGCTTTCTTGGCAGGGGAGATGTTCAACCAGCCTCTTTAATCATCTTACTTGTCCCCTTCCCGCTCGGAAACCAGAGACCTTGGGAGGTGCTGCCAACTAATGTAAACCAGCCCAGACTGAATTAGTCTGTGCAGCAGCGAAACATGAAAAGCATTCATCCGCTTGTTTAACGCCAGGAGACTTGGTACCTCTTTGGAAGAGTGGCTGGCTGAGGGATGCTAGAAGTTGTAGTCCAATGCATTTGGAAGCCCACAACTCGGAGAAAGCTGCAAGTCTTGCAGCATCTCCAGGCACCAGGAGAGGTCCCCCCAAACCAGTAAAGCCCCCTCTTCTTCTCAGTGCCTCAGTCCTCTCCATGGAGCTCCACGCAGTTCCTCCTTCCTTGCCTAGGAGCCTTGTTTTCTCCCCTGCCTTTGGATTCCTTGCGCTCTCCCAAAATCTACGTGGTAGTAGAATATAGGATGGATACTGCGTCAGCTATGTAATTGAAGGCGATGGCATCGGAAAAAACCAAAGAAGGTGTGCAAGAAGAAATCCTGGAAAGGATTAGGAGGCTGGGCCCAGAGAAACAGAAGTTCTTGTGCGGGTTATAATGGTGCCCATACAGATGTTCTCTGTGGGTGCGGGGGACTGTGTCTGAGGCTGAAGTGAAAGAAGCCTCAGTTTTCTGCAGAGGAACTGATAGAGCAGGGCCAGGTGACTTCTCTGGCCATGGGGTTCCCATGCACGGTGCTGCAGTGGGAAGCTGTGAGTTTCAGGTGCCTGTCGGGACAGTCCGGATCGCCAGAGTCCCACAGGGAAAGCAGCTGCATTCATCCATACCCACAAGCAAGTTCCAAAAGCCTTCAACTGCTAGAAGGAGCCCTTGCAAAACTGAAGGGCATTGATGACCTATTCAGAAGCAGTCCAAAATTTTTTTTACAGGTGTAGGCCCAACAATACAGACTGGTTTTAGTTGTTAAAACTGTGGTTTTTAAAATGTGATGCGGTTTTATAGTTTTTGTTGTTTTATATCCTATTTTATTGCTCAGAGAGCTTCCGCTATTGGGTGGTATAGACAACAACCAACCATTGTTGCTGGGGAAATTTAGTTCCCCTCACAAGCTACACTTCAGAGAATCACAGAGGGAACACGGAAGTTCGACGGAGTGACTGATGTTGTCAGCATTCCTGCTGGCAAAAAGCGCCAGAACTGCATGCCTGGGAGTTCAGGCTCTGCTACGCCACTGCACAGGTGTGTGTGTGCACATGCACACCCAGGGATGGGATGGCTGGGGATGCCTAAAGCTGCGCAGAAACAATACACATCACATCACTGTGTCAGTCCCCCATGTGTGTGCATTTGTGTTGCGTTTCAGAAAACCGAGCTCGCTCTTGTTCAGCCCCTGAAAGGCAATGCAAATAAACCCCCATCACTGCTTCCATTCAGAGCAGAAAAGATGGGAACTGTTACTCCCCTGCTAGCAGCGATCCCAGGTGCTTCAGGTCAGGTGGGCCCCCCTGCAACCCTGAGCAGTGGGGCTTCACCACACTGGCCAAAAGCTGCCTCTGGGCTGCTCACCTTTGATCAAGGAGGGTTGGTTGTGAGAGGCACATTTGGCAGTGCTGCTCATTTTCAGGGGGAGACTCGGGCAAGCTTTGTTATAGTTGAAAGATACGGAGTCAATACTCCATATTGACTCCTTCGAGTCTCTCTGCATTCTGCATGGCTTTCAGTATTGCCAGTCCACCAAACACCCCTGCAAGTAGGGCAGTTTGTGCACAGGTTCCAAAGTACAAAACGCAGCGGCCCTTACAGCCGCACTGAAAGCTACTGGTGTGCAGGTCACCTGACTGGGGGTGGCAGCAGCACTGCATGCTGTTATGGAGGGGTGGGCAGCTTGATTTGGCTTACCGCTCCCATCATTCCTCACCACTGGCTGGGGCTGATGGGAATTGCAAGCCAAATCACCTGGAGGACCAAAAGTTGTACATTTCCCACAATCACAGAAAAGGACTGGTATAACATATTTGAAAGTGGAAAGCTGCAGCTGAACTTCTGCACACTTGGTACCTTTCATATTTGACACACAGGCTTTGCAGTGGGACACGTTTAAAAGATCCATTCTTTCCGAGAGTCTGCCGTAGAAGCCATCTATTTCTGGATTTTGCTTAATGAGGTTGAACTTTGAACACTGGGCAAGGCACTTGGTAGCTGAAGGACAGCTATAAAAGTCTCGGAATAAAGGACAGCTGCGTTTGGAGAGGGCTGAGCTTTCTGTCGGTTGCCCACCGGCTTCTGCTGCAACCGTTGGGTTATTCTACAGGGTGGAAGGATGGGGAGCTCTTCAGATTCCAATGCACTCCAGTGGGGTGTTTTGTGTGTGGGTTGCTTTACTGTGAACATCCGCCCCACATGCCAAATCGGCCTTCAGAGCTCTCCTCTGTGTCAGGATGATTTGCCCAGCCATAGCATGGGTGCTGCTGGTGCCCCTGTATGAGAAGCCCAAAAGCACATTGTGTGTCCGGTGCTAGTCCCGCTATGCTCGAGGCCAAGTTGCATGGATCCCCTTCCCCTCTTCTCCCCCGCACGGCAACAAGTGCCCTTGAGGCTTCAGCTGCTGTGGAAATGTGAGCTGTTCGTCACAGGCTTCGTGTGGCTAGTTAGTAGGTCGAGATGCATGCCCACATTCTAACGCTTGGCCCACTTCCGTCTGTTTGCAGTAGACTTACCAAAATGCCTGTCTTCTTCGTCCTCTCGGTGCCAGCAAGACGTAGCAGCCAAGATCGAGCAAACGCACAACCTGACCATTCTCGTGCACGAAGGCTCGGAAAAGCTGCTCACTACCTATGTAAGTACTGCCAGTATGTGAGAGAGATCCATGGAGTGGTGGGTGTAGCACTTAAGGGTTTAGTGGTGAGTTATTCCTGTATGCACTGCACTTCTGGGGCGAGCAGCCACATAGAACTGAATGCTGCAAAACATCTGGACTCCCCCGCCCCACCACTGAAGCTTCTAGTCCTCATGCCTGCAGAGATGAAGCCAGCTGGGTCTGCAAAATACAATTCAGGGTTATGGTGCTTAGGTCAGTCTCTTCATCCAAGGGTGCAGTTCCTTAGTTTTATTTATGTTTTGTTTATATTAGATTTGTTTAAAAGCTGCCATCAGCGTCATGCTCTCTCAGTTTACGCTCAGAGGCACTATGTTTTTGAATGTCTCCTCTGCCATCTCACCCCTCAAATTAGCATTCTCAAACCCGTAAGTCCCCATTTTTTTAGATTGGCCTTGTGTTAACTGCATTATCTTGGCCGAACGTAAGTTAATTATGCAAGGCGGTTACGAAGAGGGAAGAGGGAAAAGTCATCGTCTCATGCAGCATTACCACCCACTTGAGAATTCCTTGGAGGAAGGGTGGAAGGATGACGAGGCCTCCCTCCATCTGCCTCCTGAAAAATGCAGACTTGGAGACAAAAGCTTTAGGTCAGTCTTGTCTGGAAGGGTGGCCAGGCGTCCTGATTGCAGAGCACACTGTTCTACAGGAGGGGACGCTCTCTCTTTGGAGGTGTCCTCCGTTTGAGGGACTGTCCGTTTCCAGCCTGCATTAAAGCTACTCGACCAAGAAGTGGGGGGGGGGGCACATGCACAGAAAGGCCTTGCAGCTGCGCAGGGCAGGGTCACCAGTGGGCGACAGACCAGGCAGCTGCATGGATCCCCTAGTCAGCTTCCCCATTGTAGTGAGATGTCTTATGTTTCTGTTTAAATGACACTTGCTCTTCCTAAATGTGTGGCTAGGCATACATATTTGCATATACAAATATTATCCAAGTTGACATCCTCCTCTAACCTCTCTTTGGGTGACGTGTAAGTGGCCAAGTCTTTTTCTTCTTTTTTTGTAGGTGCGGTACCAAGGGGAGCCCTTTGGGAGTGCCGATTTTAACCCTCCCATCCAGTCCTTCGAAGGACTGCCACTGCCGCCCCCTTCCACCGCGGTTTGGCAGGACCTTAGCGATGCCGAGCGGTTGCAGCGGAACGCCACGGTCTTCTCCAACTTCCCGGAGTTCCTAACGGCCGCCAAGAACCAACAGGCCGGCCTGAGCCCAGCGGCCAAAGAGCTGCATCACCAGTTTGACCGGGCGTCTGTGCAGTGCCTCGGCCTGGCGAGCAACCTGCAGTCCATCATGGCCTCCCTTGACATCCCGCCCGGTCCAGCCATGCCTGTCCAGGTCCCGAAGACCGACAGCGCCTTCCTCATGAAGCTCACGGGCTACAGCATCTGCCGGCTCTACGAGGGCTGGGCCAGCTCCTGCCAAAGCGACATGGCCGCGCTGGCTGCCAAGTACCCCGTCTGCACTGGACCCATCTGACTCGCTCTCGAGCATCCGTCTGCAGCCAGTGGCAGTGGGGGCCAGCGCGTCATATGCGCACCCCCTCCCCCGCCGTTCCTGCCAGTTTTGTGTGTGGGGAGGGAAAACACAAAGGTGTTTTTTTTTCCCTCTATCCAGCAACAGGCTGAAGGGGGAAAAAATGCCCTTGTGGAAAAGGCCTTTTTCTCCAAATTTGCACCCCCACCAGGGTAACAAACTATTTATCTCCTTTATCTTCTTGTATTTTCTTCCTTTTAAATTCAAGTATATGGAGAGGGGGAAATGTTTTGTGGGGGTGCAGAGGTGGTCCCAACTTTTGGCAGGGCCTGGCAGCCGAGTTGTGAGATGAGAGTATTGGAAGAGGAGGGTAGCCATTTTGGAAAGGGTGCTTGCCCTCTCCCATGGCAACCATTTTAATCAGGGGGCCTTTTCCTCTGATTGAGGAAGCGGCGAAGAGGAGGAGAAACCAGCTTAATTTCTAAAATGATGTGCAGAGTCAAGCAGTGTACCAAGATGTCTGATCTCAGCCTGCCAGAAGTGTTCAAACTGGTTTTGGTTTCCTAAAGCAAAACAGTCTTTCTTCCACACGACACCCAACTGGCCCTCAGTTTTCAAAGACTTGTGCTACTTCCTTTCTGTTCACTTACCCAAGAGGCTTGGGGCTGGGGAGCACGAGAAAGCTGCCATTTTTTCTGACATAGCCTGTGTGTGGCTGACACAGAAATTCAACAGGTGGAGCCACTCCTGTCTTGGAAATAATTACAAGGGAAGCATAGATCTCACTGAATGTCCACCTTCTCGGCTTGCTAAAGCTGCAGAGCCTGTGTTGGGATGGGGAAGGGTGAATAGGATCATATGCCCAGGGAGCCCTGTGATTCTGCTTCCGTTTGCTTTGAACCCCACTCCTAGGCTCTGGGGACACACATCCATAGGCTCTTTCACCCCCCCCCCCACCAGCACTGGGCTAATTCTCACAGAATCGCCCACCTGTCAAAGGGGGACCTTGGTGCCCCAGTAGCCTGTTTTCCCATCACAATCCCTGACACCACCCCACTCCCAATTCCAGTATGGCAAGAGCGTCTAACCCTTTCATCTGTATAGCCCCTATTTCTTTGACACTGGCCTTCAGTTTGATTTTTCCATTGGGCATAGTGCTTTCCTAGAGATGTTTGTTTCTACCTACTGTGCGCTTTGTTTTATATTAATATATATATATAAATATAAAGTGGTAAGATAATTATACTAATATTAAATAAACTATTTTTAGTAGAACATGCTTATTTGGCTTTTCTGCCACCCTGGGAGCCTGTACATGTGATCTACATTCATAACGTTGCTCAGACAGGTTGTTTTTCAGACCCTGGGAAGCAAGCAAAGCTAATAAAACCGGTATTGACTTGCATGTTTCCTTCTCTTGCTGGGACACAGGTTTCCAGGCTGCAAGCTGGATTGCAGGCAGGGACTGCGTGGCGGGACATGGCAGCTACCAGTTCTGCAGCATGATGGCTGGAGATCGACCCTGGAGCAAGTAGTGCTGGAATTCATTAGTGCTGGAACAGGGAAGACGAGTTTCTCTCTAAGCATTACCTAGTTCTAGCGTGCTGCTTAAAGTCAGCAGCAGAATTGCACAGGGTCTGTCTTAAGACCCCGTCTTTCTTCTGGCCTAGTGAGCCAGCTTCCTCCAGTATTTGCCAAAGACCTATTGCTGCTCAGAAGTGCTCTCCAAACACCACACTTGGAAGCACGGAAACCCAGCATCAAGCAGCCTCTGACATAAATACACGGGCGCATTTAGCAGGCATTTAAAATTCCCTGCACAGCAGAGGTTACCCCTTTTCCTGTTGCTGCTGCTGCTGGCCCCTGGAAAGGCCTCGGGGGCCAGATCACAGCCCAAAGGATCCTGTCGCTGAGCCTTTCTTTTCCATTGTACCCCTACGCAGAAGAGGCACCGTTTAAAACATTGCCAAGCCCGCCTCGGGCAGGCACTTTCCCAAGACACTGCCTGCATTTTGGCCACGTTTCCTCTCACAGGCTTAAGAAACTGAGCAAGCGGGTTTGGGTGAAAGAGGGTGACTCCAAATTAGACAACTCCTCTAACAACTGACTGTGGTAAACACTGCATATTCCCTTTCACACAGTCGCCCCAGACATTCTTTCCATAGCCGGCATGGTGATGGGAACTAGGGATGGCTTTCAGGAAAATCTTTCATTGTGTAATTGCCCTGCTCTTTCACATAATTTTGCAGAAGGTCAACATGACATTTTCTTCCGTTTGTAACCCTCCCATGGTTTCCCGACATTTCCATCTTTTTTTTTAATACTGTAGGAACCTGCCAAAGAGGAAAAGAGGAGATTGCTTTGATTAGCAATAATAGGAATTAGTACAGTCCTGAATTTAGGTGATTCCAGATAGGTTTTTATTATGCAACTGCTTCGCAGTGCCTTGTTCACAGATTTTTGTGATGGGTCCAGATGAAGACAGCTTTGATTTGTGGTTCATCTGTGTTTTTTATTTTTTGCTTCCTATGAGAAAAATTGAAGAGCTTTCCTGTGACTTTTAATGGTTACCTGTAGGAACCCTCATCTGGAAGCACTCTTAGTGCTGACTCCTTCATTGTCTTTTAAGTGGGATTTTGACAGTTTATAGTGTAAGAGACAAGAGTAGAATTTCACTGCAGTATTGCAGAATTTGGGGCTTGCAGTTTAATTTTTGAACTAATAAATGGTGTGTTATGGTGTGTGGGTTGTTACTGAAATGTGAGTTACAGTACTGTCCAAACCCAGCTACGCTAACCACAACAACCATGCAAATAAACTGGTGGCTCATTGTTAGCTTGTAAACTGTGGGTTGTTCACCATGGTTTGTTATTTTGGTTAGGGTCAGACAATACTACAACCCACATTTCAATAACAAGCTACACTACAGTGACAACCTACACTCAGCCCTTGAGTTTGTTGCCTGAACTCAACCAGTGCCTGGGTTCAGAGAACAGAACAACCCACCATGGATGCCCAGCAGGGCTAGGTTGCCATGTCACCCAAACCCAACGCATTCTCCACAGTGGCTTAGTATTTGCAAACAAGCCATTCTGAAAAAAGATGGTTTGTCGTAGGTTTGCAGGTATCCGTGCTGGGTTGTCATGTCATTTGAACCTAGGAGAATGCTTTATCATGGATTACTGGAATCAGCGACAAAGCCACTTAGCAAGAGCCGTGCAAAAGCCTTTTCAGTCTCCGTCATGTCTGCAGCTTCCCTTTTCAGTGACTGCCCCTTCACCAGCATCCAAACTAAACTTTTGATGGCCATCGCTCATTCGCCACATTTCCCCCCAGTGCTTCAGGAATACATGAATGTGCTTGCTTGCTCAGTCGCTCACTCACGTGCTCGCTCGCTCTCTCTCTCTCGCACGCTCTCTCTCTCTCTCAGCATCTCCTTTTGCAAATGTGCAAGAACACAGACTCACCTGTCTGACAGGTGCTGTCTTGCGTGGTCCATGTCCTTATATGTTGCAGCTGTCAAAGGAGGCCCCACAGTGCAGTAGGTAACATATGAGACAATTGACAAGACAACTGTAGGCTAAGTTGCAAAGCAACATGTTGGAACTGGTGCAAATGTGTTGCCATGGATCACATTTCGCATCTCAGCATTTTCACAAGAGGAAACAGGAACATACCTGTAATACCTCTGTTATCACCTGAAGGACTCACCCACGTTGAGAAGAGAGGTTCATGCTGTCAGCGGCATTAATTTACTCTGAAATAGCCTGTTGTCCTCTGCTCTAAAATACCGAGAGGGTGGCTGGCCTTTGATTTACTCGCACATACCTTTCCCCTGCAGGTTCATTAAGGACTGCAGCTGCTTAGAGATGTGGTTTCTAAAGCAGAGGAAGTGAACCTCTTTTGGGCCATGGGCCAAATTTAATTTTGGAGAAACATTCAGGAACCACATTCCAGTGGTGGGCAAGCCAGAAGGCAAAAGGCCACAAGAGCAGCTCAGTGTAACTTAAAACTCGCAAGCACAGTAACAAAGCCTTAGGAAAGGAACTTGACTTTTAGGAAGTGGACAATTTTACAAAAGCTTGGAACCAAATGGTCAGCAGCAAAAGCGGGAGGGAAAGTAGCTACCTTTCCAACCCTTGATGACTGGACTTGGGCCATGGGCCGAGAGTCAACACCACTTCTAGAGAGACTGCAGAAGGAGCTAAACGATGAAGAATGACATTTCTAATAAACAAATGGGTGTTTTTCCAAATACTAGATAAATAAGAAGCACTTGATGTGTGTCTTAGATTATAACCCAGATGCTTCCTTAAAAGTATGAAATGCTGCTGAAGAAATTCAAGCCTGGAGAGGTTAGTGTAGTTAGCAGAATGGATAGGGGGGACACCAGGCACATGGAAAACTACTCAGGAAAATGGGGATACAGGTCTGAACCCTGCCAGAGGAAAACTGCAGGAAATTACCTTAGCACCAAACTCATATTTCACATGCAGAAGGTTCCAAATTAACCTGCAGCACCTTTGGATAAAGGATCTCCTAGGGAGGTTTTGGGCTGCCCCACACTGGGAAAATTCAAGGTGCCACTGGGCAGCTGGCTGGCAGGAAGGTTTAATCTGGAGTCTGCACTGAGCAGGGGATTGGACATGCTGGCCTGCGATGGCCCCTTCCAACTCTACTATTCTCTGATTCCTATAGCAGGAAATGGGAAGGCCTCTGATTAACCCTAAAAGACAAATACTCTGGCATGATATAATGCATGTTCTGGTGTATATATTTTTAAATCCTCCATGTGGCAAGCAGGATTAATTATGCCAAATGTACAAGAAGCATTCCAAATTATTCTTCCTATTTTGGTATTTGATATTTATGCCCAGCTCTGGCAAGGAATGCATTAGCTTGCTTTAAGATATCCCTTTTACATCATCCCAAGATCATAGGCTGGATCCAGAGATGCAGGAAAACCAGCAACTAAAACAGACAAAACTCCATAAAATGCAATATTTAATTCAAACTCTTCCCTTGCCCTTTTTGAATAAACCTGCTTTCTGGAAGCTAGCCTAAGTAAGAAGCTCTTAGTATTTTTAATCATATAAAAAACCTCAAGGAAGCAGTTCCCATAAGTATACGTCTGATCAACTTCTAAGAAAGTCTTAGCTCATTTGGCAAGACGTTGTGCTTATCTAGGAGCCATGCCACATTTTGTGAACCGTTGATACCACAGCTCCTTGAGGAGCGCTGCTATTTTTTCTGGTTACAAAAAGCAGCCCTAGGGAATAGACCTTCGGTGAGAAAACCAGAAAGAAAGAAAAAACCTGTAACGGTGGCTACATGCGATTGTACCCAAAGCAAGAGCTTTGCATGAGTGGAGCCAACAATCATATGATAATCAAAGAGCTGAGCCACACTTCTAAAGACCGAGGGGTCAGGGCCGATCCTGAAGCACCAGTTACACCTGAAGCACTGTGGCCCTTGGACATTTTTGTGTGTGGCAGCGGGACAAGACTCTGTTTCTCCAGAGAGAGGATGGCGGGGACATTCAGGGCCCTTCCAAAGAAAGGACACAACTCTGCCCCTACCATCTGAGTCACAGGGTAGGTTCCTACCTCCTCAGCCTTGCAGAAATCTAAGCCTGCCGAATGACACAGTGGCCCTTTAACAGCTGCTCCCCTGGGCTAAGATGGGGAAAGAGCTAAGCCGAGTGCAGGTCTGGTCAAGTTGGCTTTTGCTCCTGCTGAGACAACATCCTTCCTGAGCTGTCAAAGTGGAGAGAGCTGCAGCCAGCAGCATCCACCTGGAGCTCTCCAAGGTGCTGTTTTCATCTTCATTTTCACAAGAAGGCTGCACCCTTGACTTTGCCAGTCAGGACTTGGTTTTACTCTCCCCGAACAGACTTGACCTGCCTGGATGGGGGTCCATCAGATCAGTTTCTCCTGGAAGCCTCAAGTACCCAAAATAGAACTGCTGGGCTGTGAGATCTGTATTTACTTTCTTTGAGAGGCGGTTCCCAAAAGGGCAAAGGGCAGGAATATTCTCCCACACTTGGCTTTTTTCTTGTTTTCTAACCCTGTATGCTGTTACATGTATAGGTAAATACATTTTTTTCACAGAATTTCACCACATAGGCTCAGTCAAGAGTTTGGTGCTCACCATCATCTGGCTTCATCTATGAACCTGCCCCCACTTCTGGTTCAACTGCAGAGACCCTATATTTTTGCCTGTGCCATCTGGAAGGAAGCAAGGACAGAGATCTCCTCAAATTTTACACCTCTTCC